AAAACTTGTTCTTGTGCCATAAAATAAATTGCTTGTTCTGTACTAAAATTCACGGTATAGACTACAGAGGACTGGATAGAGGCAGCATTCAAGCAAGGAATCAAAAAGGAGAGATTTCGATATTTGCCTAAATTATCATTATCGACCTATTGTCCCAAACTATTCTTGCCACGAAATGTGCTTGTCTGTATCAAGTGCTCATTCTGACCAGGGGAACCTCATTTGGCAGTAATAGCCCCGGAAGGCCTTTTAGATCGACATTCCTGGATGCTCCAGTGAGACTTGAATTATTCATGCGCCAGTCAAACTTCAGAAGGTAGCTGTAGACCGGGTTCAGGCTCTACAATGCTTTTTTGCTGTCCCAAGACACACCATCACATTTAGGAAGCGGGAACGTCGATATAAAGTTAATGGGAAGGTGCCCAGCGAAAAACATACCCCAAATCTCGTTTTGCATATTTATGTTGTGACCGATTGCGTTTTTTGCCTGGAGATGCACTTCTTCATGCATAATAGGTTCATTTCAATTCCAGGTGTATAGGAACTCAACAGTTACACTTCGGCGGCAACAATGCTTGTTTTTAATACGTTTATAGAGCTATTCATAATTCAAAAGTAAGTGAGCATGCAGTGGGGTCTTCTGTAATTAAACATATATTGCTCTCAGTACGTGCTGAGGATTAGTTACGTAAATTACACCGATATTGAATTCGCCATACCGTCAATTTTCAGCTTCGATTGAATAATTTACAATTATCATTCTTATTTTGTCCATTCAAAATTGCATATCAATCTTGAGTTGACGAAATACGGAATTGACTAGCCATTCCCCAGCAAGAAACTTTTTCTATTAAAAATCCAATAATGTCATACTAATGACTAAAAATCGCTGTTCGATAGTTTTTCCCGGTATCACGTCATGAGATTGATTTTTGTTTTAGTCCAACAAATGTATAAAAATTTTCTACTGAGAATACAAAGACAGTGCACTAAAGTAAATGTTCCTTAGTTTATCGTGAACGGCGAAGCTTGATTCGATGATATTCTAAAACATGGGGGAGGCTGACTTGATATGATAGGATTCATGACGAGGCACCTTCGTGATGCAATTTGTTTGCGCAAAATCCAAAATTAGTTTTGGAATTCCAAGTTCAGAATTCACCTCGCGTTTATCGTCAGATTTCTGTCGATTGCCATTAAATATAAGCCGTCAGAAGTTCGTGTTTTAAACACGATACTGATGATAGCTCCAGGGGAAGTGAGCATAACATTAGATCGTTTTAAAAACCCGCCTTGCATCTTTTCCCAAGAGGGTAAAACTCGAATACTTATTCTCGGCTTATAGTACAGGTATTCTGTCGTTGGGGACATCTTCCTGTGAAGTTCCTCGAGGAATATACAGCACGGGTGATTATTTCGGAATTTTGGAACCATGCCGGTGGAAACGTGAAAAATATGTAGCATTGAACGAGAACAAAATATTTGATTTAAATTCTTCACATTCGGAGAACAATTCCGACCATTTGCTTTTAAAATCAACATTGCATAAGGGAACAACGCCAGAAATCTCTGAAAATCGACCATCGCAGGTTGATGACTGGTGAAACGTCCTCCATAGATCAAGTGTTCTCACAGGTTGATAAACGGACTCTAAAAAATAATCCAAGCCTTCAAAGAAGATGCTGCACCCAACTTCCGGGATCTACTGGACAAAGGAGAATATGGACTTCCTAGCACAAAAGCCTTGGGAGTGACCTGGGACTGCAATGCTGATGAGATCACCTTTTCCAATCGACATCAAGACAAGGAATTCAAAGTAGCTGCTGATGTCTTCAGCTCTTCGGCATCACTCTATGATCCAACAGGAATTGCTGGCCCTTTTGTCCTCGTTGGAAGGCTGCTCTGGCAAAAAATTTGGATGGAGCTGAAGGACTGGAAGGCAACACCTACGTCTGAGCATATCAAACAATGGACTGCATGGGTTAATCAACAAAAAGATATTGGGAAACTGAAAATTCCCTGATGGTATGGGTTTGCATCCAATCTGAACACTCAGCTACACATATTCTCAGATGCCAGCACCAAGGGATATGGGGCAGTGGCCTACTTCAAAGCAGATGATCACAAGCCAGCCTTCATCCTCTCCAAAAGCCACATCATCAACCCAAGCCAGGAACCCTCCATTCCTTGAGTGGAGCTCCAGGGACTTCTGGTAGGAGTGCGCATGGCTAAAACCACTGTCAAGGAACATGATGGATATATCACCATTGGAAAGCTGTTCCTTTGGACAGACTCCATGGTGACCTATCATCACTTCTATAATTCGACCAAACGCTATGAGATCTTTGAAAACAACCGTCTCTCTGAAATCCATGAAATATTGGAGCAAGACTTGGTGCATGTTCCCAATGAAGTCCAATAGGTGCCAACTGAAGTCAACCCAGCAGATCTGGTTTCAAGGGGATGCTCATCTGATGAGTTCATGGTCTTTCAGGACAAAGAGGGGTGCCTGCGATTGGTCACTCGGTTTTACAAGGCTGATTTCATGGCTTATGAGGAGAAATTTCCTGCGGTACTTCCCCCAAAACATCCAGTCACCAAGCTTCTTATTTGAGACTGTCACAAGGTAATCAATCATCATGGTGTGAAATCAACAATTGCTGGCCTTGCATGCCACTTTCACATCATTCACGGAACTGCTGCTGTTCAACAACTTTTATCAAGCTGCAAACCCTGCCTGCAACGTCAACCATGGGCTGTCGGCTATCCCATGGGAGCTTTTCATGAAAATTGTCTCAGCATTCACAAACATGCTTTCACTGAAATGGGCATGGATCATTTTGGACCATTTCTCCTCAAACAAACCAAGAAGGCTTGGGGATTGCTCTTTATGTGCCTAACTACACGAGCAATCCACATTGAAGCAGTGGAAGGACTTGGAACTGCTGATCTGCTGTGTGGCCTTCAATGCTTCATTTCAAGACGGGGAAAACCAAAAACAATACGCAGCAACAATTGGGACATCATTTGTCTCAGCCCGCCAAGAGTTTGAATGTCTAAAGAAGGAGACCTGCAAGGAGCTAACAGAGACAGCCTTGGAATCCTGGACAATTGAATTCAAGTTCAACCCACCACACACTCCACACTGGGGAGGCAGTTGGGAGCGGATGGTTCACGAGATCAAGAAGGACCTGAAAGCATCCTGTGACTCAGTGGCAAACTTGTCCATGGATGCCTTCACCACAGTGCTAGCAAAGGCTGAATCAATCCTCAACAGGCGTCCAATTGCATTTGATGATGACAAGAAGCCAATCTGCCCAGCGCAAATTTTTGCACCGGAAACTGAGATGGGGTTTGGCTTTCCAAATGGATATTCCATTCAAAAGATCCTGCATCAAGTTCAACAAGCAGAGAGTCATTTCTGGCAAAGCTGGTCAGAGCACTACTTGCGTTTCTTGAGTGTTGACTGACTTTCAACAAGGGCCAAGATCATTCAACTCCAGCCAGGGGATTGAGTACTTATTCCAGCTGATCATGGCTATCAAATGTGTTTGGAGGAACTTGCTGGGAGCCTGCAACAGTGGTAACCCCTTACACCGATCAAATTGACAATTATGTACGTTCAGCTCTGATCAAAACTGATGCTGGAAAAGAGCTAATTCTCAGCACCAGCAAGATTGCTGTGGCTGAAACAGAAATATTGGAACATCAGCAAAATTGTCAGATCACTGAGAATTCAAATGAGGTCCCAATACCCACTCCTTCAATTTAGATTGGAGTCCCAATCGGGGGGAGTGTCAGACTGTGTATTGGGGTTTTTCTATTCCCCAGGAAGAAGGGACAAAAAAACCTTCCCTGACAAAGGGGCAGAAGGGCATTGAACTTTAGCCATGTTTCTATACCCCTCCTTCTTGGCAAAACCCTGAGTAACTGCTTCCTGCAGCTGCTCCAGCTGTTGGGAAGGGAGAATCGCCAGTTTTCGCACTTTGACTTCAGATTCCTCTTAAAGAACACCTTCCCCCAGAAAGCCCCAGGCTAGGAGTGTCATTTTGTGTGAATTGATGCATTGTAAAAAAGTTTGTCAAATCTTCAAAAATTGATACAAACCGGCAAAAATTTGCGTGTTGGTGCATCATTGTGTTCCCCAACTTTGCCTCAATTTTGGTTGAATTTTGTTTGTAACTTTTGGAGAAATTTCACTTTTAGTTTGACTAACTCGCGAATTTTGTACAGTTTTTTTGCCCAAAAGAATGTCTGTATCTTCGCAAATTTTTGCCTTAGGGCATCCAAATTTTCAATCAACAAAGAGTACATTGTTGGCAAGCATGTACAAAAATTTTGGCAAAATCCCTTCAGCGGTTCTTGAATTAAAAATCCTGAAAGGCGGCCTACGCGTAATTCCCCATGTGAGAATATGTGCTGATGTGTTTTTTGTTCTGTTTCCCTCTTTTTCTGTATGTATTAGAACCACATCGTATGTGCGAAGTACTAAATCACCTGCATAAAACCCAAAATAAGGTGGTTTTCATTCAAAAGTACAATATGTGGTCTCTTCTAAGACAATCAGAAACAAAAGGCACAAACTCCAACGGGCAAATTGTAGAAGAGCCCTGAGTGAATTAAAATTAAAATTATTTGCTCTAAATACTTCAACACATAGTGTTTTGTGATATTATATAATATCTCAGACAAGACACAAGAAATAGAATCAAATCTGGAGAAAACTGCTATTCAATATATTACTTTCTGTAATGATTCTTTTTTGGGTTTCTGAATAGTATTCCACGTGTATGGAATTGAAGAAAAAATAAGAAGAAAATTCATCTCATCCATAAAAATTTGAATGACAAAAAAGCCAGCAACAATGAGCTAGAGGATACCCTGGGTCCTACAAAAAAGTAGGATATGCCCATAATACAGCAATTCAGCTGGGGGACTGGTAGCCAAAGGTAGAACAATTCAAATAATTTGAACATCAATAGTAAACATTAAAGAAACAGTGTCTAGTTCATACTCGTCATTCATTTCCCGTCCAGTAGCACTCAAGACAAAAAATTAACACTCGTTCCTTCAGAGGGTGTTCCTAACGATGCTTTGTACAAGGATGGACTACGATTCCAGAATTGCGCAGCACAACGAGGGTGAAAGCGATCACAACCAAAGACCGGACAGTAGCAATGTCAGAATAAAACTCCTGGGAAAATCCAATCTCAGATAAACGCGTGACAATTTTGCGACTTCGACGCCCTTTTCGCGAGAGATCAAAACCACACGTCGAGTTATGCAGACGATTGAAAAAACAAAACTCGAGTTCCGTAGAGGCAAGAAAACAGAGAGACGCGAGAAAATCCAGAGCAACGGAGGATTTCCACATCGACTTACTCCAATCACACTCGATAAAAGTATTTCCAAGATCCGACTCACTTTATCACACCTCTTGACAATACGAAGTACGTGGCACAAACTCAACACATTCATTTTTCATCCAATACGGTACTGTACAATCCAGCGAAACGGAAAATATCGCATCATTTCTCGAGACGGGAATAATTCAAGACAACACCGAGTGCGACAGAAAATAAAAGACACGCGCCTCGAAATCCTCCGTGTGATCGTTGAGAAAACAAGCATGGACCAAAACAATATTTGTACTCCCACAGGACCGCTCAACGTCAAAAGTTTCATTGAAAGTGTTCACTTAACGTAAATTACTCACTTTGACCCGCAACTGACTGGATCAGAAACAATCACCAATTAACGAAATGGGTTTCGGACTTTTCCTTCAAATTCGTGTTCAAACCCCCGAACACCCCTTCCCTCACGTACAGCTACAAAATTCGGTAGGTACAAAAAAGCCAATTGATTACTCCGGGGTCAACGATCCTTCCTCACTTCTTTGGTCACGATGGGAGTTACAGAATTCCAATTCTCAGTTTCGGCTTCTCACTCTTGACACGAAGAAAACGGAAGAAAAATACAGATGTTGTTGAAGGATACGGTACGTACACACAGCATCGATTAATGAACTCGGTGAGTAACTATAAGCCATATCCGTCCTACACGCGGCAATTCCTTCCAAGCAATCTGCTCAGCTCCCCTCCACACGGCACCACTCGCGTCTCACAACGATTTTCCACTCCCTATTAAAGCAACCGGCCGCAATAAACCACGCTCGGGTAAAATACACAAAATACAGGAGATTCCTCATGCGTCTAAGTGAATCGACAAGCGCATTCATACACACGGTAGACAGGAACCGAGTTTCAGGCGACACGTCCACGGCTCTTCAAACAATACAAGCATGATGTCACTTTGCACAAGAGCAATTCTGTTCTGGGCAACGATCCTTGAAACATCAGAAGCCAACGACCAATCGGAGCCGGGTTTTCTGTTCAGTCCCAACCATTTTCCTTGATCATGTGCGCCAGCTCTATTATGTACTTGCCCTCCTTGTACTTCTGGCTCGTCTCGAAAGCGTGTTCCTATCACACGAATTCATCGATCTCAATTACATTGTCCAATATCACCCTCATTCTCCTATTCTGAATGGTGATTCATGCCACAAAAAATTTTTCATAAAAACTGAAACAGGCTCACGTATTTCCAGCCGAGAGTAGTTTGGCAACTATCACAATAAATGTCGGCAACAGCGTGTAATCCAGTCAACAAAACCCTCTCCTCGGCTTGACCACAACGAACGTTCACTCTGACGAGAGAAACGAGAAATGTCTCCAACAAAGAAAACGAAGGGAATGTAATTTTCTCAACAAAAACTTACACAGAATTGAACAAGTAGGCTCTCCCTTGACTGCCTTGGAACGACTGGAAAATAGACAAAATATCCGAAGTTGACATCGACAACGGGATGGAATGAACCTCAAACAGATTTTCCTTATACAGTACAGTACTGTACAGTAGTACAGCTACAGCGGGTGTTGAAATCATGCAAATATCAGAAAGAGACGAAAAGCAGTCAGCACTCTGCAGCCAAAGAAATTATCCACCCCCAAAATTATTCATCTTCCTTCAACCAAGTCGGTCGTCATGCACCATTTCTTGGCCAGTGGAAGCAGAGAACTCGTACGATCGATCACATCGAAAAAGTCGCCCAATGCATGCCATTTTCTGATTACCGGTGTAATCGCTGGAGAACAGCATATGAAGTTTTCGAAAGCGACATTCGTATTTCGCAAGAGGTCAAGAATAGAGTCTCAAACCGACCTTGGAGATGAGCTCGTCGTGGTTGGCCAGATGCGCGCGACAATGCACGCACAAGTAGGTGCGATGGCAGTTGGGAAGGTACACCTGGAACGTCTTCACCATGTTTTCCCCGTTTCGTCGCGCTCGACGACCAGAGCTGCGGACCAGGAACACGGACTCAATCCAGGCCGGGACGAGCTTCCGGGCCCACGAACTCGACGGTTCCGTAGAGGACACTTTGAATCGCTTCCACACTCTAGAGCACTTCAATAATATTTCCGACTAGAGTTTAATGAACTCACAGACCATTCGACTCGTTTCTTCTCCACACGACCGCGACAACCGGCTCACACAAATGATCAATTGATGGGGATCGGTTTCTCCTGCAAACCAGAACGTGATTCCATCACTCAACAACCGTACATTCAACATCACGAACAGTGTGTATTCAATCAATTCGTTTCATACACTTCGTATTCAAGAACAAGAAAGCGTCCTCCTTGGAAAGTAGACATCGAAAGAGAGGAAAATAAAAATCAAAGCAGTCCTTGTCGCTTGAGATCGTCATACGTCTTCTTATTCACCACGTTGCCCTGGGAATCTTCGTATTCTTCCTCCTGCTCGGGCTTCCATCTCTCATCATTTTTCTGTCCTTTCAGCTTTTCCCACACTGCAACGAAATCATCAATCCCAGTGAACAGATGAGGAGAACTATTACAAGTACTGCACTTTTAAATAGACTCACATCTCATAGCATCTTCGATATCAGTGACGTTCGCAAAATGTGCCGTATTCGGAATGCCCAAGCACCGCATCCCGTGAGCATGCCGCCATTCCTGTCACAGGATTAAAAGAAAAGCGTTAAATTTACTCATTCATATTGAGTTCAGAATTTCAAGAATACTCACAGCAAAATGCCTTTGGAACGCCTTTGGTCCTTTGTACGTGTAATTGCCACAAATCTCACAAACGTACGAGATATTCAAGCCATGCAACTTGTAGAGCCAATATGGGATAGGCTTTCCATCCCAGCCAAGCGGCAGATTTTTGGGATTGTACGGGATGTCGTCATCGTCCTTGTCATCATCATCTTCACCTTCACCCGCCGCGTCTTCATCTTCCTCGTCATCATCGTCTTCGCCAAGTGCACGCGCTTGTTTCCGCTGGACATTCTCCTTGGTGGCGTTTCGCTGCTCAGACAAGAGCTCAGACAACCTACGCGACAGGACGTGAGAAAGCCTTTAGTCAAGGAACGTATCAAATTTCGCCGACAGATGGCATCCAAGAGCACAACGCCATACAATTCGAAGTACTGTACAGTATAAGTAAAAAGAACATGGCATAGTATTGGTACTTCGAGCTGCGCAGGTAGACGAACATAAAAGTATAAATGCGCCTCACTTGTAAACCTTTGCTTCCGTGAAGGCAATGTCCTTCATTTTCAACTCGTCCTTTCCACGGTTCTTCGCTTTTGTTTTCGCAAAAAGACCAGCGTCGATTTCCGAAAGGCTCTTTCCTTTGGTATAAAACAAGCGCTGGGCTCGTTCTTCCAACGTTCTGGAAATCCAAAATACCGGAAATAAGAGTTTTCCAGACACACACACACACGATCACTAAAAATATATGAAGCACGAACCCTCCACATTTCAAGCCCAATGCAACTAGGGCCGACTTCAATCGGTCCAATCCCAAGGACGCCAATTCTTCCCAGGTATTGAATGGAGACAAATCCAAGTGTTCTCCGTCGTTTGCGGATGCCTGAGGTTCTTTGTTTTCTTTCTAAAAAGCAAGGTAAAAGTGTATCTGTTGAAAATTCGAACTCTATACTTGTCAACGATCCATTTTTTCGGTACACTCACCGACCACCCCGGAAATGACCCTGAAGCCCACTGCTTCTCGAAATCTTTGGTGACTTCGTCCAACTCCTTGTTCAAATCGAGCAAAGGACGCACTTTCCCAACGTATTCTACAAAATACGTCACAAGGGCGTCCAAATACGAAAGGTACTCGGCGTTCTTTCTCTCCCTCGGAATATCAAATAACTGATCAAACGTTTCCAGATAAGAAATGTAGTCCAATTTCTGCAACAACAAAAAACAATATATTAGTGCAAGATGGAAGAGCAAAAAATGCATCAAGAACGAAGAAAGAAACTTTCTTCACACAGAAATTCGCTTTAGAAAGCGTACCACGTGCAAACTGACCCTTCACTCATAAGCAAATCTTCACAATCATGACTGATAGTGAAACGATTTAGGGCTCAAATATGGACTACAGTAAAATACCTCTAAACACGAGTAAGAAGCAGTAATTTTACCTCAATACCACGGAGATTGATGTACTTGAGGTAACATTCGTGCAGGTCCAAGTACCTGCCATATCCTTCCTCTCCAGAGAAGTCCACCAAATCTGAAACAAAACGTATTCCCCTCGGTCAAATCCGCCTCCCTTGATTTCAATCATCGCTCTCTTACTCCTTGAACTCGAAAAAAAAGTACTCACTTGCTTCGTCACTTGGGTTTTCTCTCAACTTGTCCCACTCCATGAACTCAACGGACATCGGCACGCTGATCTGTTTAAATTATTTTTTTACGGAGGCAAGCAGCAAGTTAAAAAAGGGATTCCATCGATTGAAAATACAGTACCTCATTTGGATGCCGTCTATGGAACTCTTTGATCGCTCGCATCCGCGAGTAAAATTCGGCGAATTCGTTCGGACCGGACAAAGCCTGGATTTCTTCTTTGCGCGCTCCATCTTTGTCCTCGTAAAGTTCCAGCAGCTGTGCACTCACCTCATTATGTCGCTGGAACAGGAAGTCGAACCGGTTCATGAAAAAACAATTAAACCCGTCAATCATCGACTAAATTTTGAAGCAGAATATCCGGCAAAATCATGAACCAAGGGAGGGTCATACTCGGATTAAAAAAAAAAGGAAGTACTAACCTCAAGAAGCATCTTCATCCTGTGCTCCGAATTGATGTTTTCCTTCAACTGAAAACGAAGAAATCTCTGAAGACTCGCAGAGAAAATGTTTTCTATTCTTTTCTTGAAATTACTCACGCTGGACTTCTTGACCAGGATCTCCTTCACCACGGCATCAGTAATTCGTTCGCGCTCTTCGTGATACCTTCGTTGCAACTCTAGCACTGATTCCGTCGACATTCTCGAATAGAAACCAAAGAAGAATCAACTCACTTCCACCTGCTGATCGCAACGCGAAACAATGCGAAACATAACTTTTCAAAACAGAATGTTCTGCGATTTGTAAGGCAAACATTCTTCCACGATAGAAAATGTGTTTATTAAACGTTCAAAATGCAGAGCCTGGCAGGATTTGTGTGACAAAAGCACAACCGTCCTCACGGGCTCCGAGTACGAGATCTCTTCGAACATCCAACGACAGAAACCCACTCGTCGAAGATTTCGACTCTATGTTCACTCGCTTAATTTGCTGCTCCAACGGCCCATATTCTGTTGAGGTCCACAAGCATCCCCGCGAAGAGTTTCCGAACCGCTGTTTCCCACCTGAATCATTGGAAACACGCATACAATTGAATCTTACAGACGAGCATAAGCCATCGGTGATTAAACACGCTTCCTTTTTTTCGAGTCCCACGGTGCGCTCAAAAGAAAGGAGTGCAATGTTTTTTTCACGCTAGGTTACTATGACCAAGTTCGATTAAGAGTAGCTTTACTTTTCTCTTTCAGACAGCATCACGAAAGGAATGCCAGCCAATCTAGAACATAGCTTCGTTGACGATGCTCGTCACGACGACTTCTACAGATTTTGACTGGTGACGGGGAACAGTTCAACTGCAAGTCCCGAAGCTTCATAAAACAATACTGATGGCGTGGCGGCAGTTTAAAATTACTCGAGAAAGCCCAAATACTAGACGTACGAGCCTTTCAATTATCAAAGTACATGACGATTTCAATACTGTATTCTGATCTGCATGCACATCGAGGAACGTCGTCAAACTCACCGAAAGTTGACAAAGAAAATGACTTTGATTCATCTTCGTCACGACACGATGTGATGGAGTGCACCATAGAAGAATCAAATGAACACGTGAGGAGCTCCGACGGACGGTCCGGGTGAAATCTGACACCGGTCACTATCGAAATGTCGAGACATGCGATCAACTGATAACGCGGTAATGCAAAATAAATCGGTCATGAGACAAACCTGGTCCCTTATGCAAGCGCACGCGATTAATTGGCTGCGGAAGCATTCGCAAGTCCCAAAACCATACCGAGCCGTCTTCAACGCCGGCTGCAATCACATGTCTAGCAGACGGGTTGGCGTCAACGCTCATTATGGAGAGAATCTGGGGGAAATCACGTGATTTATATTCAATGTGCTACAGGAAAAGTTTGAACGGAAACTTCCAGTCATCAACTATGAGCTACACTCATTATTGATGCAGCGACGGCTACAAACACGATTGGACTCAATGCGTTCTTTTCGCTACTTTACGCACTGTACCATTGAAATCGCAATCTCGCTCAGTAAAACGCGACGATGAGAAAGTATTTTAACGGGTTTTCAGTTTCAATACTTGAATCCCCAAGACACTGTAAACGTAGTGAAAAATGAAGCAATCGCTTCGTACACTCACCCTATCAGAATTGATGAGCAATAATCCTTCCGATTCGGAATCATTCCGCCGGACATCGTATAACGTTAGGGAGCCGGAGGAAGAGCCTGCAATTATCTCCCGAGATGCCCCGTAGCACAAACAAGTAAGGGGCGTGTTGAAGGAGGATGTTCGCTCAATCGTGCTCGTTGTTCCACCGGTGTTGTCTAGGCGATAAAAGAAAACACGTCCGTCTTCACCGCATGTCGACATGCTTGGGTCGCCACCAGTTGAATGTACTGCTACGCCTGTTATCGGAGCAGGCTTGCCGCCGCTGGAATTCAAAAGATTTGGAAAAATTGGAGCGAGTGGGTAAAACAAAATACAGTGAAATCTTGAACAAATTTTTCAGGATAAGAAAAGTTCGGTGCAATCGATGGAATGCATGATTGAAGCTTTTTTCCGGATAACTCGGCTTTTTAAACCTCAATTTTAAAAATTCTGGGAATACAGTATCAGAAAAGGGAGATCTAATAGATTATAGGCAGGTTAGACTTGAAAATTAGGTCCAGTCATTAATTTCGAAAATCTTGCAACAGTATGACGGATTATTCAGCAGAACGAACTTTTTCTGAAGTGCCCAAAAGTGAGTGATGCGCAATTTTAATGTAGCAAATATTATTTCAATATATCATATCCATTTTAGACTTGCAGAAATAGAAAATACAACACGCTTGAACACGCTTCCTCGTACTTTCGGAAAGGCATACGAAACAATTCTCGTGTGTTACTACATTCAACCGTCTTCTGTGACCGATGAATTGGGCAATTTCTGCATCCTTACCGGAATGTGTGCTTATGATGGAATTCCTCTCTGACGTGGAACCCACGCATCGCGTCTGGAGAAGCATCTTGAATCTGGAACAGTCGAGCGGTTCCACTAGTGTCTCCCGTCACGATGTGAGAGGCGTCAACTACCTGTTCCAAACAAATCCATCATTAAATTTTAATTAATCACCATTCTTCTGACTTAGTGCATCTAAAATCAGAAGACAAGATTCACTTTCGACAGCTCACTTGTAAATCAGCGATCGACGTCGGATGCGATCCTTGAAACTGCTTCTCTACGATGAAACGAAGTTTTTCCTCGTCATCTTGGTTACCCAATATAGACGAGATTGACCATGCAGTTAGAACAGCATTCCCCTATTTCCAGAGTGAAATGATTGGAACGCCTGTAAAAATAAACTACTCGTCGAATATAATCACCTCAGAGCGTTTATCGCGAGCTGACCCGGTAACACAGGTGAAGGTACTAAATCTGGAGACGTCAGCCAACAAATACGAACGAGTTGGTAAAAATCGCGCTACCGAAACACTCTCTGGACACGACAACCAGCCACTTCTTTTGAATTCCACAGCCATAGCTCTGAAAGCTGAAGTTCTGTTCGCAGGTTAGTTGAAATGCACGCTACCAACTTTAAGCCAAAAAAAAGTTACCACGAATTATTCCTGAATGGGAAAGCACCGGTTTGTTTCAATGCGTACGATCAATGTTCGGCAATTCTGGAAAAAATCACGCATTACCTATTCACCCGTTAAATGCCCAACAAAAAGGAGAGAAAAAAAAACCACAAATGAGAATCAATTTCTGGTTGAGCAGAACAAAGAAAATATCATTCCTCTTTCTGACAAGTTGAAATCACCGAACAATTAAGACGAATCGTCCAATGAGGGAGGTTGGGCACGACGATACAGAAGTATTCGCGAGCAGATGGGACCGACTAAACGAGCGTATTCTGCTACTTCCCTGAAATCATCAGGTTCGGTGTTGTACAGCCTAAGGTAATTCGAACAGTAGCTACCGTACGTCATGCAACGACCACAGAACAAAACCATAACTTTTTCTTTGATATCGATTGTGTCCTCCGGGTTTTCTGCAGCGTCAGAAAGGCGCGAATACTTGGAAAAATCCAACTTCGGTAAGCAATCGGAGATCGGACACCACCGGTAAGTCTCAGGACACACTAGTAAGAGTAAAAACAAATAAGTGCCATGAATATCACAAGACGATACCCTCTTTACACACTTCAGAACCAACTAAACTAACACAGTCATTTTAAATGCTGTGAAATACTCCTTTCGTGGCTATTCAAATGCAATACAGTATAACCTCCAGAAATTGAATCTCCCTACGTCAAATATTTTTTCAACTCCCTGCACGAATTCTTTCAGAAATAAAGCATTAAAAACGTCCCGGATTCGAAAGCTTTCATCCTCGAACCTCCATAACTCCACACAACGATAAAGCATTTTTTTTGATAATTCAAATTTTCTGAACGCCGTTTAGCCATTATTTTGACGCAAGAAAGAGAAAGGAAATGAAAATGTAATTCAATATTTTTTGAAAGGGAGTAAGACTAGTTGGGCAAATTAACCCTTGCCTCCGAATTCAGCATCCTGTCAACTCATTTTAAAAGCAATTTAAGGGCCAAATGTCACCAATTACTATTCCTGATAATTCTCCGTCCTCTCCCTCTAAGAATACTCTTCTCCCAAATTCAAAACTTTACTCACTCGAATTTGTTTACTGGTCTCTCGGAGTTCGACTAAACAGACGAATTTTCGTTTCTACGCTAAGCTTCAAGAGCCACCCGTTGAGGAAGTCACAACACCCAAGGTATGGAGAAATATTCTCACTTTGTTTTTGGAAAATTTCCATTGGCTATCAACCCAGGGCAAATGCGGCGTTGGACAACTTCCCTTACCATTACAAATTTCATAAGAACTTTGACAGCAAATTACGGAATGTGGGATGATGACATAGAGTGAAAGCAGTAACAAGAATCAAGTATATATCCCTTCAAAAGACTGAGCAAGCATTTCCACCCTCGTCTCCCAGTCTGACAAATAGAAACCTCATCCCAATGACATTATTCCGAAAATAATTAGTTTTTGCTCAAGATTGGATCACAGCACTTCTTCTCAGGCATTTCAAAAACATAAGGAAATCAAAATGTGCAAAGAAAAAATACTCACGTAAGAAAGAGGGGGAGAACTGACTTTTGTAGCGCATCTTTTGACATGTATGAACGTAGTAACCCATGTAATAGTAACACAGCTTTGGGTTGATACGCATTAACTCCCTCGTGAAGGCAATTTCCCTATTCGGAAAAATGAAAAGATTTGTTACAATCTCACGCATTCGTAAATACCTGAACCTACCGGAGGGCAGAGTACGTTCCCAGCGTTAAGCTGCGGAAATCTGGGTCGTAGTACGTGTAAACTGAGGAGACACAGTTCGGCAAAACATCGATCACACCCACACAAATAAGCCGGTCATCCAACCAGTACTGTTGATGGAATGAACCGCATAAAATGTTGCCTGATTTTTCCATCTGTAACAAAGCAATCGATTATTTCGGCCAGCAACACACGATGGGAAACTTGATCTAACCGCCAGTGGGGAATCAACCAAGAACATTTCGTATCTGTCCCGAGTCAGATCCTCCACTTTGTCATCATGGATGGCTACTTGGTACTTTTGGTATAGTGTGAAGCTAACTTCCAACGATTTGGAGAACTCGGGATTTTTCCGGCTGCACGGCAGTAGCCTTATGTCCAGTCGATGTGATGAATCTCGCGTACCATTCACGATTAAATCTTCGAAATTGGTAGGAAAACTCGCTGATGATCGACAAATGCTATTTCCTGAATTGTCCCCAGCTTCTGTTGGACGATTAGAGGCACCAGTCTTGCGCACCTTCTTCTCCAGTCTCATGAGCTTCGCTTTCCTGCAAGGTGGTTTTAACGGATCAGCCCCATCCCCCTTCCTCGGATGGACAGGAAGCTCCTTTCTAACCAATTTTTCCTCTGTTTTCGTTTCGTCAGACACTTCATCTCTCGCTCCATCCGTTACGAATTTCCCCACTTTCTTCAAAAGCTTCTTCTGGGATTTCGAGGGCACGAAGTTCTCCGCTTCACAACGTATGGTGTACAGAGGACAACATGTCTTATCCATCCTAGGCTTGTAACAATATTTTCCACTTCGACGCCATCCCCTGTCGATCAGTGCTTGGTAATCGTCACACGTTAGAACATCGGCTACCACACCTGAGCGATGAAAAACAAAACAAAAAACACCAGCGAACTCAATCACATTTTCCATCACCACGCGATCGCTTATCCGTCGAGTGCTCCACTTACCGTCGGAGTAAGCGGACGAGCTTGAACCACAATATCCACAACGTTTGGAAACATTTCCCCGCAATCTGGCAGACACTATACTGTTTTTCACATATCTAACCTTACGCTCGGTTTTTGACATGGCACAATGAATTGCGGGCCCACAGTAGCGCACTTACCCTGAAATATGGAACCAGATGATCGACAATATCCGCATTCCTCTGGAATATCCTCCGAGACGTTGATGACCACAGATCGAGTGGACATTGTCACAGACAATTCAGGAGTAAAACTTAACGATCCGAGTAGAAGAAACGAATGACAACAAGTTCATATTATACGAATTTCAACTGCCGGAGTAAAGCAATCCAAGCAAATAATTACTGTACCAGGTAAAAACCAAATGGCAGCTTCTGTATTTATAGTCAATTACAAGTTAATCACGAACACCACAGTTGAATATACAAGCCTTCAACTAGGCCAACCATAAATTTCAACAGTAGAAGGAAGATGCGTCCCGCAGGCCCAAAAATGTCATGATCAGCGTTCTCTTCACGGAGTCGTGCACACTGAACATCCACAGAGAAAAGAATGAACCTGACCAAGCCACACATAAAGCCTTCTCATTACAGTAATCTGTCAAACCTTGCACCACTATTCTGGCAATCTGAGCTGCAAGACTGCTTAGTACTGTACATAAATGGTTGATTCTTGCTTTCCACCATCATTCCATACCATTTTTATATTGGGTACAATCTACATAACAGGATGGATATGCCCTGTGAGAAGGCAGATGTCACTGCAACTTCATAGAAGCCTGCTTTTAGAAAGGGGAACATGCAAACATCTGCATCTGCTAGAGTATCCTCTCCTTGCACACCTCCAAATGCTAGTGCCCCGCCCCTGCCAATCTTGAACAGGGAAACATTTGCCTGCACATCCCTTGCCACTGCTCCCACTCCCTGTCTTTCCTTGGGTGGACATTCCCTTACATATGCTGGAACATGTTTACAGTAAAATTACACAGTATATTATTTTCTTCTGTTTATTCACTGTGAGCAAATGTTTTAGGTTAGGTTGTTAGGTAAGATTAGGTTGTTAGGTTAGCTTAGGTTAGGTTGTTATGTTAGGTTAGCTTGTTAGGTTAGGTTGTTAGGTTAGATTGTTAGGATAGGTTGTTAGGTTAGGTTGTTAGGTTAGGTTAGGTTGTTAGGTTAGGTTAGGTTGTTAGGTTAGGTTAGGTTGTTAGGTTAGGTTGTTAGGTTAGGTTGTTAGGTTAGGTTAGGTTAGTTGAAAAATATTTTTACTAGCATGACCTGACCTAGCCTAACTTAACCTAACCACCCCCAAAGTTGAGAATTTTAACGAACAATTCAATTACAGTGAATAAACAGAGGAAAATAACATACTGCGTAATTTTACTACGAAGGTTTTGTTTGGGGGAATGTCCATCCAAGGAAAGACCAGCGTGGCATGCCAGCAGATCATGAGTGAGCAGATCTTTGCGGGTGCCCTTACAACTACATCTATCCAGGCCTGTGGGACTCTCGTGTCGTCCAGCCGACCCATCTGCTTTACCGGAACTTTGGGATAGGAGGACCATAGGAGAGGTGCAACCAGCAGGGAGCTTCCCACTTCAATCGGCTCCAAGATCTTAACCTGAGCACTATTATCATTTTTATTGTGTGACTTCCATAGGTGAAATCAAGAGGACCAATTCACATTGTTATAAGTTGATGAGGGCATTTATTACTGGTAACAACCTTATTGTATTGGGTTAGATGATATTATTTCAATCAAGGTTAGGTTTGATGAAGTTAGGTCATGTACCTTAGTCTAGGTCCTTGGTAAGTGTACTATCAATTGAAATGTGTTGGCACAAAAAAAGTAGCAGTCTCAAAAGTCATGGTGGTGGCGTAAATAATTGGGTGGATTCAATTTTTGTCAACGTATGCCATACAGTATTTATTGTTTCCCTACATCAATCCAGGCATGAAATACCAAATACTGTAATTTACGCACTGTATTTAGTTATTGATAAAGTCACTCATTGATCTAGATGAGGAAAGTAGTGGTGTAGCACTGATCTCGTCCGGGGAGTGTTCAACCGCGGATTCCGAATACAGTAGATCCAAGTTGAGACTTTTTAGTTTTTAGTGTATAATTATTCATGAACGTCATTCTATTTGAAAAAGTTGCGTTTCACGTACGTGGATCATGTTTCTGAAGACTTCTTGATCCGCAGACGGTTTTAATTTGATTTGGTGTTCTCTACGATGGGTAACCGATCATCTGTGATGCTACGAGACGATGAAATTACTGCAATTCAGAACGAAACAGGGTGTGAGTCATTTTTGCGTCCATCAAAACTCGGAGATTCATTAATTACGTTGTATTAGTTTCATGCAATCAAATTGAGCGCTTGTATAGTCGCTTCACGAATTTGGATAAGGGTGGCACTGGTGCATTGAATCAAGAGGACTTTTTGAGAATTCCAGAACTTGCGATCAATCCCGTGGGCGAACGGATCGTTGCAGCATTTTTCAAAGTAAGCGGTCGTATTCCATGCATTTAAACTCCGTTTCATATTCGATTTTCCATAGGAAAGTTCTGACGATCAAGTGAACTTCAGGCAATTTGTGCGAGTGCTGGCCAAGTTTCTACCTCCTAATTCCAAGAAAAGTCCGAAATTGAATTCTGAAACAGAAAAACTCGCTTGTGAGTCCTTTGCATGCGTTTCATGATGCTGACGTTTGAGTGCATTTTCTTTCATTTATTCAGTTGCTTTTTCAATTTACGATCAAGATAATGACGGTTTCATATCGAAAGAGGAGCTGCTGTCTGTTCTGACTTTGTTAATCGGTGCCAATATCAAGTGAGTGGAGTAGCATGTCCAATTAATGAACTGGCAATAATTTCACCTTTTTCCCGCTTCAGTGCGGACCAACTGAGTAGCATCGCTGAAAGAACAATAAATGAGGCTGACCTTGATGGAGACGAGAAAATTTCGTTTGAGGAGTTCAGACACTCGCTTGAGCGAGCGGGTGTGGAACAAAAGATGTCCATACGATTCCTCCACTGACCAGTTTTACGTGAAATGTGAAGCAAGTACTGTATATTTGAAGGTATATTTTCTTTGGATATTTCGATCGGATCGTTCGTTTGGGGTCTCTGGAGATGACCTCGGGTTCCTCTTCGAAAGCGGCAAGGGAATCGTACCGGCGCTGGTTATCTTATATGTTCCTGTGAAATTTAACAGTTCTTACGAACTGTGCGTATCGGGCTTACGGATTTATGTGATGTGATCTTGGGGTTCAAATCGCGGGAAAACTGTCTTTCGAAATTTTATTCATGCATCGGTTCAGTATATGGAATTGTTATACGTGATATGGTTGACGTTATTTTTCGAGCTATCAACTCGTACCATACATTTCAATTTCGTTTTTGTGTGTTGGTTGATGTGTGCGGGTAGTGCTAGGATTTGTGTGATTCGACCTCCTCTGCCCTGCGATGTCTTTCGGAATGAATCCGAATGACGATGGGATGTTCGAATTCTTGCACATGGAGCTTGTCGCCATGCTTTTGGAAAGTGAACCAGGACAAGTGTCCAACCCGAGCAAAGCCGTAGTGTCACACGATATTGAACGGAAGGACACTGGAGACGCAGAGACCACGATTCAAGTGAGCCGTGGTATCAACGTCTGTGTCACATTCATTCATGACAGCGCATTGCTTTTCAGAGCATCACTCTCTCTTCGATGGAGTATATTGGATTTTCAACTGGCTACCGTATGGTCGAACGGTAAACTCCCATCTTTTTCTGTATCCAATACCATCGGTTCCTCAGCTGTTCTGATTTCAGGTTAACTAAGGATTGGCCGAGGTTCAAGGACGAATTGGACACGATGAAGTTCATCTGCAAGGAGTTCTGGACCAGTGTGTTCAGGAAGCAAGTCGATAATCTTCGAACTAATAAGCAGGGAGTCTATGTTCTCCAAGACAACTGCTTTCGATTTCTGGCGAAGATTTCTCAATCGCAACAGTATATTGAGTTATCGCCTAAGGTTGGTTCTTTCTCTTTTATCGGCTAAAAAAAAGCATCTGCGAGTTTGTCCGTGTACCTGCAGTTCGCCGTTTACACGTGTGGTCTGATCCGTGGTTCATTGGCGAACCTGGGAATGACCTGTGCTGTAACAGCGGAAGTTACGTCTCCTCCTGCTTGTCGATTCCAAGTCCAGATTCATCGATCGTGATCTGTTTGATGTGGGCATGTGATATTTTTATTTATAGGAATGAACGCCTTTTTTTCTCTGTTTGCTGTTGAGTTTTTTCGCATAGATTTTTATACCACTGATCTGGTTAGTTGTGAATAATTTTGCAGACAATTTGTTTCCGCTTCATGTTTACAAACAGAGCTCTGAAATGGCGGTAATTGAGGAGGCATTACCGAATTTCTGTGAATTTGGACTTGACGATCGCCTCACTAATGTAAGGAAGAAGCATTTGGTTCCTTTGTATCATGTTCATTGCAATATTTTTTTTTATTTACAGTCCATAGCCCGTTTGGGATGGGAATGTCCTACTCTGATTCAATCGACTGCCATTCCTCACATTCTTGAAGGCAAAGATGTATTGGCACGAGCGCGAACAGGGTCAGGGAAAACTGGCGCCTTTGCTATTCCAGCTATACAGAAAGTGTTGACCGCAAAAAAGGTAATGCCTTGACTTCGTATTTTCCTTGAACGGTTTGATCCATTGTCAGATCATTGTTTCATACTGTTGATTCGAACTATCCCGCTGCTGAGCTTTCAGGAGGAGCGCTTTGGGAAATAACAGGGTAGAGAAAGATTTTCTTAGGACTAACAGCTGCGCAGTACTGTATTATACAATGGGACCTTATTAAGATGAGCGCTCGAAATTTATGCTAGGAAAATGAAGCCATTGATGTGGAAATGGTGATCTCTGAATTGGAAGAAATGTGGTTCCGTACTCAACTCAGTGTCTTTGTTACACGATGATGCTTTTCTCAAATCGAAAAAAGAAAAAAAACTGAAAAGGCGTTTAACAAACAGCAGGATGTAGTTGCCATAGGTGTACTGTATTGGAGTTCCTGCTTTTTTTTCTGAAGAGGGGAAATGGTCGTTCCGGGAACTACGAATAGCTGACGTTTCTACATTTGAGATTAAATTTGATTTTTTTGAAAGAATTCTATCCCAGGGACCCGTTTTATACAGGTCAACTATGAAAATTTGTACATTTTTATGTTGGCATTTTAGTACAGTAACTAGAACGTAAATAAATTGTGTATTAGTCAGTGAATTCCCCTCCCAAATTTTTCTAAACATTGACTGAAAAGATTCTTCCCGTGGAACGTCTGTTCAAAGCTCATCTAGGAAAAACTTCTGCATTAACTTGTATGATACTTCTCATAGGTGGTGGATTAACTTAATGCGCTGCCGGGTTATTAGCCCTCTTGCATGTTACCTACCAATTTTTCCGCATTTTTCAAGACTTAAACGAGCCGATGATGATGTTTTTTATTAGAATGGGAAGTTATGGTCTCCCTCATCGAAAGGTTGGACTGCGTAGAATAATTCTGAATCGCCCTCTTCACAGCTTCAAAAGCGGCAAGCAACGCGTGCAGTGATTCTGGCTCCAAGCAAGGAACTTAGTTCTCAGTTATATCGGGATTTCAAGGCGCTTGTTCAGGATTGTTCCCGTGACATATCGCTGCTTGATGTTTCCCAAGCTACCAAGGATATTGCGCCGCTTGTGCTGGAACGACCGGATATTATAATCGGAACTCCCGCTCGCATTGTAGATCAGATGAAAAAGGGGAACCTGGATCTGAGCAGCCTTTTGCTTCTTGTCGTTGACGAAGCGGACTTGCTCTTCTCGTTTGGTTTCGACAAGGACGTGAAGGAGTTCCGGCGTCTTACTCCTACAACTGGATTTCAAGTTGTGTTGATGAGTGCAACTCTGTCTGCTGACGTCTTGAAGTTGAAGAAACTCACTTTGCGGAATCCAGTGATACTGAAGCTGAAGGAGGCGCAGTTACCTCCAATCATTCAACTTGCGCAATATCACATCTTGGTCAGTTCGCTAAATGTAATTTTTTTCCCTGCTTTGTCCTCATTTAAACGATTGTTCATTTACAGGTGGAAGAAGAAGAAAAATTCCTATTGATTTATGCCCTTTTTAAGCTGCAGTTGATGAAAGGGAAAACGCTCATCTTCGTGAAAAATGTTGACAGGTGTTACAAGTGAGTTATTTGCTGACCGATTCTCTCTTGCTGTATAATTGTAAATTACGCGTTATCTGCGTAATCAATTCGTAGGGTGAAGTTATACTTGGAACTATTCGGCATTATGAGCTGCGTCGTGAACTCTGAATTGCCGGCGAAGTCAAGATGCCATATTGTGTCTCAGTTCAACAGTGGCCTCTATGATATTGTGATTGCTTCTGATGAAACCGTGCTGGAGGAAACAGCAGAGTCCACGAAGAAAAAGTGCGTATTGCTCGCGGATGTTTGTGAATGATTCACTAACCACGCTGCTGTTGCTTTAGACGGCGAGTGGATAAGGAGTCCGGAATATCTCGTGGGCTAGATTTTCAGTTTGTTTCCAATGTGATCAACCTTGATTTCCCTGCGGATGTGGATTCGTACATTCACCGGGTTGGAAGAACAGCGCGAGGGAAAAACACTGGTATGACTCGTCTTCATCATTATTCGATTGTGATTTTTTCCGATTGCTGGTAAAAATTCTTAGAATACAGAACTGCGACTTTCATGTATTTGACGCGTCATTTGCAGTAAGGCTCCGACATGTGAACGATTCATCTCGGCGACCTTTAAACTTCAAGTAATATGACCCGACATCTGGACGATGTCTCGAAATGCGGGCACTGCCAACCGTTCTGTAGAAATGCAAGAGGTTTATTTTTTAATTTTGACATCTTCTTATCAAACCAAGCTATCTGTATTCACAAAATTATTTTTAAAGAATTATGAATTTAGTTATTTACTATAATCATTAATCCAAGGGAGGCTAATTTTTTGAATTTTTCATGCAGCATTTTTTTGCATAATCCGTGCTCAGTGTAACAAGACTTGTGCTTGTTCTTTGGATTTCAGGTTCCTGTGCATGCCGAAAAAGATCAGATTCTGTGTGGTTTTCTTATCTTCTGAACTTGAGATCTTTTTAAAAATTTTTGGGAGACATTGTCGTAATATTCGATTAACAGGAGAACCAGTTGAAATTTTTGTCATTGATGTTCATGAGAAGACGTGATCCGACGTGCGGATGTTCCTACATAGGGATGAGGTTCAAGCACCGATTACGTCCGCATCTCGGGGCCCCATTGTAATTGATTTTGTCTAGTCCATTGGTAAAGGCTCGCGTTTATTTAATTTTATGATAATTTTAGGAACGGCTGTGTCCTTCGTTGATCACAAGGAAGTACCTATATTTGAAGAAGTTCAAGAATATTTGAAGGATATGTACGGTCGAAAGAAGGACGTCAGCAAGCCGTTCAAGTTCAATATGCAAGAAGTTGATTCATTAAGATACCGAGCGAGGGATGCGTTCAAAAGTGTTACTCGAATCGCCGTCAGAGAAGCAAGATTGAAAGAAATTCGGTCAGAAATCTTGTCATCCGAAAAACTTAAGGTACTGTATTTCTATTCGACTGTGAGATGAAGACAATCAATTCAGAGTTGAAGTCGTTTCTTCTCAGTCGCACTTTGAAATGAACCCGAATGACTACGCCGTCTTGAGACATGACAAAGCTTTGCATACGATTAAAAGCCAGCCGCACTTGAAGGACGTTCCTTTATATATCGTACCGGATTCTATCAAGTCGAATCCTGCCCAAATGTCTTCCATCATGAAGGCAAACAAGAAATATAGGGCCGAAGTTAAGAAAGCTGACAAACAGCTGAAAAAGCGGAAAGAATCCCGAATAAAACTCAAACGAGAGGTATGAGTTACTTCTCGGTTGCCAATTTGTTGTTCTTCATGCATTCCTTTTCATTACTTTTCAGCGCGATGCCAGAAATCCTCTGAAGACATTTGGTTTTGAAGGTTTCTCGAAGTTACGGAAGAAGACTTGATGCAGATTTGAAATACAATTTTTGAGTGAACCCCTGACGTTTCATCTTTAGATTTTAAGCTTGTAGTGAAAACGATTCTTCATCGCTTCTTTTCGATTTTCTCTTAGGTTATTGTAGATTCTTGGGAGCGTAAGCATGGTTAGTATTAGTGATAATTAAGTATGAAAATTTACCGATGATCTTCAGTTGCTCTGAGCTTTTAACTCAATTCTATCGTTCTGTAGGACGGAATCGTCATAATCCTGGATACAGGTTCATCGGTTGCCCAAGAACATGGAGGAAAGTGCTTTCTAACAGAAGCGAAGCTGTGCATTTCACGAATTTTACAGCGCCGGGTTCGTGGCTCATCTTTCTTCTTCAAATTTCTGATAATTCCCGTGTTTCGCACGAAGTATTTTCTGAAATAGCGGCAGGTCCCGTTTCCTAAAAGAAGCATCGTGAAAATAAAACTGATGGACGTCATAAATTCCAATCGTTTCGTTGAACAAAGAATTTCTGGGAGCATATAGTTTTGTAAACATTCCCAGTTAAATTCCCGAGAATCGTGATATTTCAGAGCAATGCTGTCCAACTCAGATGTGACGAAGGGCTACATGGACACTTCTTTTTTTTTGGCTGCGGGCCGCATTAAAGAGGTGGAGTCTTCGCAACGATAGACAATACCTATTGGGGTTTCAAATACCTATTGGAACCCCAATAGGTATTGTCTATCGTTGCGAAGACTCCACCTCTTTGATGAATCAACCATATCCTGATAAAATGTATGAAGGATTGGAGCATCCTTTTGAAGTTTTAAATTCATCTTTTGACGTATTTTGAATAAAGGCGGCTGTCACCAAGAAAGAAGGAATGGCACTGATTTTAGAAAGATAAATCGATTATCTTGAATAAATTGAGAATATTCTGGAGTTTCGTGAAAGTACTGTGGATTGCCGGGCTTTTTGGGACAAGCTTTCTCGTCAAGTTTCTCAAATTGTGTGAAGTAAGTGGCATCCAGAGGACAACGATCTCCTAACGAATGATAGAATTGTGGACAAGAATATTTCATCCTCAGGGAAGGTTTTTTTTTATATGATGTTGGACTATGGTGGTATACCAGCTAAGAAATTCCTCCAGAATTTGCCATGGAATGACTGGAGTATTCGAATGTGTTTCCCACGTCCTTACAAGTGATCGTGTTGATGTTTGTTTCTCTTCGTTTTCCACAACTTTTCTGAAGAAAGCTTACCAATTTGGGAATGTTCCTTTACCACGCATTAAAAAAAACGAAAAATGAAACCCGGATGCATTTTTTATTTAAAAAACGATACTCCCATGAATTATAGAAGGAATACGATAACTTCTAGCGTGGCTCAGGACGCAGTGGAATCCATCACATGTGCTTGTTATTTCTTTGGCTAACCAAATTCATTTTTCCTCCCAGCTGTTTTCTGAAAGCAAAGACGAAGTTGGTTTAGTGCTTATGGGCACTCCAGAGTCAAAAAATCAACTGTTCGTTGCGGATGATCCGGAAGGATATCGGAATATATCTGTGATGCGGCCATTGGCGAAAGTTGATTTCCAAGCTATCGAGTTCGTCGAGAAAGAGATCAATCCCACTGCGCACGAAGCGGACTGGCTAGATGCTGTAATGGTTGCAATGGATCTTCTGAAGCGCTCAACAAGGTGCGTAATTTTTCGTTGCAGTGATAGCTGAGAAATTTTCAAATCCTTTTTTTTTATCGCGTCAATCATTATCCAGGCCATTTTATTTTTCAGTTTCAGAAAGTACGAAACGTTGAAGATAGTCCTACTCACCGACTTCTCTGGTCCGGTTTGTGTTGATCAAGTGAGCGAAATTATCGCCGGCATTCGAGGTTTGGACATTGAGTTTATGATCGTGTAAGTCCCTCCGATTAATTGTGTATTTACTCGAGTGCCACGTACCCTCAAGTAAGACGCGCACCCTAATTTTGAAGCGCAAATTTTCGAAAGAATTGCTTCCCCGCACAAGACACCTTAGTTTTAAGCTTCCAAAATTAATATTTTAAAAGCTACTGGGGGTAAAAATCTAAATACAAGCGCACTTGAAACTTGCCTTCCTTGTTGATGTTCTTTCTTATGCATAATAAAAAAAGAAACCTGAACGAAAAAAACTTGGAAAAAAACATTTCAAAGTGAGGAGGAAGTTCGAAGAATACAGTACAATGTACTAAAAAATTTCTGCCCAACTACGTCGCCAACCTCATTTTTTGCCTCCGTTTTTTTCTTTTTTCTTTTGGAAAAAGGTTGCGCGTGGTACTCGAGTAAATACGGCTTTATTTTATACTTTCGTTGAATGAAGAGTTGCACAAAGTTGTTGAAAATAGGGGCTCCAAGTTGTGGAAGGAGGCGACCAAAGAGGAAGATCTCGAATCATTCGATGATGAAGACGACAAAGATCCGCAGAATTCCATTTCTTACATCGGGAAGCCCAAAACAAAAACTCAAATCCTCTCAGAAACAACTGCTCAGAAAATCTTGAATGAGGTAGAAATTGCTCTTTTCGATGAGATGGAATCACGATTGATATGCTCTTCATTCATTAGGTCGATGGGCGTAATGCGGACTTCGAAACTATAATGGTCACATTGCAGTTCTTCGTGAAAAAGGAAGTGAAAAGTGGCACGTGGGCTGCTCAGTTGGAAATTGCTCCGCAGCTTAGTATCCCTGTTGTAGGGTTCTATCGTGTGAGTTACCCGTATTTTCATCGGAAAATTCTTTTCGGACGTAGACGAATTGATGTGAATGTGTTGGAGGTTGAAGAACAGTTTGCGTGTTCCCCATTGAGAGTTGTCGTTTTTTTGTTTTAGTTCAAAACTAAGCAAATAGCTCGATTTTGGTACCTATGATCTTTTATCAAATTAGAAAATCAGTCGAATTGTGAGATTAATGTGTTTTGTTCAGTTTACGTTTGGCGAATTCATGTAATTCCAGAATTTGTAGTACTTGAGACCTCATGAGCAAATCGATGTTTTTATAGAATGTTATTTGAAATTGCTGTAGCAACTATAACATAGAACTATTCAGCATTCGAAATCGGAAGAATTAAAATTTTATTTGAGCCTGAATGTTGCGCTTTATATGGAATGGATTTCATTTTACGGTATTATTATTTTCTTTATTTACGAAACGGTCCAACTTTCTCTCTTTCACTATATTTCCGCGGTATTTATTCAAAATTCAGGGCTGTAGGTATACAGCAGAGCCTTGTTGCAACAAAGCATTTGGGACCTTGAAAAACGCTTCTTAGCGAAATAAAATTAACCAAAACGAAATTGAAAGTGTGGATATTGGATTGGGATTTGCAAGAAGAATTCGTTGTAATTAATTATCCGTTGTTTATCCATTATTACGAGATTCGTTGTAACAAAATCCTACGGTATTCTATTTGCATAATTGGCGAAGTTCGTTGTACTCGCACGAGCAGAAAATTTTGAACAAATTTCTTGTCAAGAAAATTCTTTCTTGTGCAGGTGAAAGAAGCTAAAGTGAAAACGTGGGGAAAAGGCTTAGCTGACAATGTAGAAGAGCGACCTATCGTGGAACGATCGCATCATCTGAAAGATGAGGATCAGACTGAAATCGAAAGAGATGAACTCGTTTCCGCCTATATGTACGGTTCTACGAAAGTGCCGTTCTCTGATGAGGATAAAGCTGGTATGATGTATCAATCGGGTGAAAAGTCGTTCAAAGTTGTTGGTTTTGTCGACCGTGATTCCATCCCTTGGCATCATCATCTCGGTGACGGGGCAATGTATTTCGTTGCCCGAAAGGGTGATCAGGTTAGTTTTCTTGACCCAACTGCAAATTTTTTAATGAATCTGTTTTCTTTGTATAGCACGCGAACTAAAACTATATGAGGCGAAGAGTAGGTGATGGCTCAACGTTTTGATGGACCTTAACTTTCGATTGTGTCAAAAGTGATGCAAACTAGATAAAGACGAACGTATTGCTGAGTTCACATTCCCTAGCTATCAAGTTTGTGTTTGTAATCCCTGTTTCCGTCTTCTTCCGACTCGTGAAGAATTGAGTTACTCAATATCTCCCTGTTCATGTCTGGTAAATTTCACGATGAATGTTCTCCGCGTCATTTATTCACTACATATTTGCATGTGTGGAGTACCTTCTTTGCTAAGCCTGATGTTCTTCCCTTGCTGGTCAGCCCTCCACGTAATTCCGTGTGCGAGTACTGCAGCATTTGCTTTTGGTTAGAATGGAACCGGTGGTTCGGATTTTCAAGGTTTTTGACAACTGAAGTCCGCTAGCATTTGAAAAATTTAGTAGATTAAAAAATTAATCTAAAAAACCACGTTTTCAATTGCATTGTCATCAGTTTCTAAGCTATCCTGAAAGTTTCAGCTTGCTAGCTAGTCGGGAAGTGAGCAAAATTTGAGCTGCAAAATTTGATCCGGACAAACAAACGGACAAGAAAGTGAGTTAATAAAAACGTGTTAATAATAAAAAACTGTTGTCCTTCAATCTTTGGCATGACCGAATAAACGGCAACAAAAATTTGCATCATACTGTAGTAGGAAAGGAACGATTTGTCACAAAGATGTCCGTAATAAGTTTTCTTTTGTGATCATCGCGCAATTTAGACTTTCGAAAAAAAAAGTCTTTCGTCGCTAACGATTATTGACGTAGGGATGTCGTCTTTTTCTTCAGCATGCATATACGGCGCTATCCGCATTACTAGCCGCACTAGAGGAAACGTCCACGGTCATCATTGCAAGGAAGGTTTACAGAAAGAACAGCAATCCGCAGATGGGATTCGCCTTCCCACTTGCGAAGAAGAACGTGAGAATTCGATAGAGTTGTATACATAGGTACCTTTCTGCATACTGTAAAGTAACGTTAACATAGGCCTTAGGTTGGATTGCTATTCCCTACGCGGAGGACATTCGTTCGTTCAAGTTTCCCGGTTTGAAATTGAAGCCAGAAGAAGTCAGTGCCGAGGATTTGGATTTGGTCGATCGTCTGATTGATGCCGGAGACCTGAGCGATCCAGAGAAATTGTGAGGTTTTTGATGTCTTCATCTGTGATAATGATCAATCGATGCATCGAATTACTCGTTAGCATAAATCTAGGAAGACTGTCGTCATTTTTGAAATCCGTCCCGCAGGAAGGAAGAAGGAAGATTTTCATACAGACCGAAAGATACTCTGAATCCAGTGATGCAGAGGTTATTCGAGTGTTTAACACGGAAAGGTTTGTATCCTAAGGAGGAGATCCCGGAAACTGTTGGAGATCATCTGGCGCTTTTGATACAACCCCGATCTTCGGCGGAAGTTCTGAGAATCTCATCTGAGATTAAAGCACGGTTTCCCCTCGAAGTTCAAGAAAAGAAACGTCAGTGGGCCAGGACCGGGCATGAGACATTTGGGTTAGTAAAGCTTGTTGAGAAAATTCGAAGTATTACAGTCCGGAGATTCAGCTGCCGTCTTTCTATTTTGCATCATTCATGGATTTGATCGCTGAAGAAATGGAAGAGCCTTAGCTGATGTAAGGCTCGAGTTCCACAGTAATTGAATAATTGTCAAAGAAAGGGAAGACGTTCAAAGTTGTCGTTGAATTTCTCCAACGGCGAACTTCACAGATTTGAAATCCAAGTCCGTCTGCCGTCCGCAACAATCTGTTTTTAATTCAATTTCCAAATACAGTACAGTAAAATCTCTTACGAATATTCGCTCGCAGCGAAGTCGTTTTTCGGGTCCCTGTTCAACGGACTTGAATTTTGAATGATTTACTTCATAACGAAATTTCAATTATAACAGCTAATTTACTGTTCATGATGGCTTCGATGTAACGAAATTTTACTGTTCAATGGATGCCTACTGCGTTTTCCCAAGAACGGCAGTTATTCTATTCTGATCAAAACAGAAGTCACCACGTAACATTTTTGGATTCGATTAACATGTTTTTCCAGTTGATATTGTGTGAAATGAACAGAATATCAATTCACAACAAGCACTTTCCAAAAGCTCCTGCGGTTCGCCTTGAATTCCTGGACCTGCAATGATTTCAGATCCAACCCTAAATTCAACTTCTCCGAATCTGGATTTTTTGAAATTTGTAGCTAAAATTTTCCACCCTGTAATAAGAGACAAAGAGCAGTATGAATCTGTTTTATAAATGTACAGTACAGTACTGTAATTTTATTTGTTTGGAAGTATACAATTTGAGAAGGACATTTTCTTTCTATTGTTTGTGAGATTTGAAGTTTGTACAGTATCGGTTGAGTCATTAAATGAGCTGATTCAGTGATATCAAAGTCAAACCCCATTAAGGCGCCCCCTATAAAGCGCCACCCTCAGGAACTGCAAAAATTTTGAATGAAACAAATCTCCAAGTTAAATTCTATAGAAAACCTTGATGAGATGCCAACCACCATCCCCCAGCATTAGTGATGAAAAAAAAGTGCTGTTTCCTGTTAGTTTTGTCTTTGTTACAATGTCAGCATTGGGATAGAATTATCATTTCTGTTGAGGAACTTGAATTTGTAAGAATAAAAAAATGATAATCATTTTGTTGAAAATTTTGAACAATATACTGACCTAATCTTAAAATTTGACTACATTGATGCAGCAAAATTAATTTTCTGGAAGAGTAATTCATTGATCACCGCAGTACTCTTCGGAAAATTACTGAAGTTTCTATACAAAACCTGTATCTCTATGACTTTTGGAGGAAAATTGATATTTTCAATCAAATAATTTAAAATTAAATATTTGAGAAACCACCAACCCCTATAAACCACCAAAATTGCTCTGAACAAATGGTGGTGTCTTATCAGGGTTTGATTGTACCTAGTCCTGAGCTGAATTTATCCAAGGATTGATTTTATGGAAAATGTCTATTTTTGGGGAAATGCGGTTCCTCAAAAGGTGTATTGTATGAAATTGACAGTGTATTGTCGCGCTGCATGCTTCGAAGTACAGTCCTGAAATGAGTTACCAATGATTTGTTCAATTGCAGGAAAAAAGATGAAAATGGCGTGCTTGATCAAGAAACAGATGCTAAGCGAGCTAAAGCAGAAATTGAGGAAGTCGATCCTGTACGACTTGCTTTCGGCGGTGAGCCAGTTGTCAAGGAAATTGGGGTGACGCAGCCAGTTTCCGATTTCAAAGAATTGCTGAAACCGTACAGCGAAAATGACAACAGTGGACCCGGTTTGTTTTTATAAATTTTTTGAAATAATTGAGAAAATGCCTTTTTTGTGCTGAAGTCTGCATCATCGCAATTTTTTCTTCTTTAGTGATTGATATCATGAAGCAAATGACAGCTGTTATTGAGGACTTGATTCATAAATCACTCGGGTCGGCGTTTTATGCGAAAGCGTTCAGTTGTTTGCAAGCTCTAAGAGAGGAAGCCGTCCGCAGAAATGCTGAAATTTTCAACTCATTCATCCACCAGCTGAAAGTCGTTGTTCTGGCGAAAAAACGAGAAAGCTTTTGGAAGGATTTTGTCCAAGGAGGTGAGAAATTTACTAACTGAAAATACGAGTACAAGAAGTTCTAACTTCTACGAGTGCGTTAGAAATGTATGATTTCAAAGGATATTTCCTGTGCCTGCGTTTTCGTAGAGCTCATATCAAGCAGAGGGTTTTGTCTCAATTTTCATGAAATTCTTAATTTTAGAGGGTTGGTTGGAAAAAGTATTGAAGTATTGGATATTATTGTTTTAGTCTCCGAGACGCATTGCTGTTGAAGTTATCAAAATTTTTCGTTCACTTCACCATTTTACCGTTGAAAAATACAGTTTTTCAACCGTGAATGCTACGTTTCTCACCATACTCAGGATTACAGATTAGATTGAAATGAAATTTCTGTTCTGAAGTGAACTCGTTGAATCGGAATGCGGAGGTGAAAACGTGTAAAGTTTTCTCATGAGGTTACTCTTTTCAAGGACGATTTGTGACTTTAGTTTCTAAATTTCATGAGAAACGATTTTTAAAAACTAATGGAAGATATTTTTCAGCGGCGCAAATTTCTTCCTTTTTGTCAGAAAATTCTCAAGAATGGATAACGTTTTGCCCTTAAAAAGATGACATTCTTCCTTCACAAGGCAGTGAATTTCTAAAACTTCTAATGCAGTGTAGTATACTGTACAGGGGTAATTCAGAAGATTACTGAAATATTTTCAACAACAAAATCTGTTCGAAAGAGCATCATTATATAGTCTGGAATAGTTCATGTTTTGATGCTTCGAAAGACTGTGTATTGAATTACTGTATTTCACTGTCAGCGAACCGTGCGCGGCAGTATCTGAGCAGTGGACGCATACAAATAATGATGAAAGTTCTAAAAAGATAATTTTGGCGAATGAAAATTGAATCGAGTTGCGTTGAACTTGTTCTTTTGTGCCGTAATTGTCTCAACAAAACTTCTACTTTTTCGTGAATTATAATTTTTTTCATGGGTGAAGTTTTACCCATAGTTGCCACTATTTTTGGGGAATAAAAACACCCCTAGCTGAAGCAACATGATTCAGTTTTCATATTTTTCAACAGTCAAATTGTTGACCATTTTTCTGAAACAAAACAAGAAAGCTTGTATGTGCCGGTCCCCTTTTCAAAAGTTTCCTGGCTGTCATGAAGAAGAAGGAATCTTGTTCTATATTTTGCATTTTGCTTATGTCTAATTGAAGTGGAAATATTTTTGAAAGGAGTGGCAGTACGATTGATGAAGTAGTTCTGTGTTGTCTTTTGAAGCACTTGAAAACATTGAACAGATATCTTCCAGAAAGATAAAATGTTTCATTCATTTCATAATACAGAGAAACTTCACTTCTCAAACGTGTGTTTAAAATTGAATTTTGGTATATTCTTCAACCCAGTTTGTGGTGAAATCCATAAAATGATGCCACATATCATTCCAGAAAACAAAAAATCTTCCTTTTTCGAAGAAATGGCAGTTACTGTACTAGCAAAAATGGGAGTGCTACTCCTTGCATGCACTTTCAGGAGATTCTCGTGATCCATGATTTGCATACTTGGTCTGTCTCCTTTGTTGTTTCATTCAGTTTTAGATCTGGTATCAGTGAGTAACTATCGTGCAAGGAATGAATCAATTTTTCAGAGAATGCGGGCTTGATAACCTCGTCAGAAAATAGTAAATCGGGAGTTTCTGCTGCGGAAGCAAAGCAATTTCTCTTGGACATCCCGCGTGAAGAGGCTGAAGCAGAAGAACCTGAGAATGATGATGTACGTACAAAAACGATCAATTTAAATCTGATTGTAAATTAAATTTTTTTTCTTGCAGATCGATGATTTGATTTGAAGGATGATTCACATTCCCGTGCTATTTCTACGACTGGAACAGCATTCATCAATTCATGCACATCGTTTACCACATTATTATAATTTTTTTCACTTGATGTGCGATTTTTTAGTGGGGCACTTCGTATTTGGAGATGATGCTTTCTCAGTTTCAATTTTTGAAAGATACTTTTGAGAAGTGCGCACTTAAAATATAAAAGATGATTCTTGCTTACTATTTTTGCGTATCGTCGTTCAGGTTATTTCTGCTAATAAATGATTGATGCTTTTTGGGAAGAGAAGTGACACAGCGCGTGAAAATCCAGATCCATTCCTCAACACAACACAGAACAAGCACGGGTAGAATATGCAGGGACTGTTCTTTCACCAAATACATCGAAGTAACCATTCATTCGCGCTCATTTCATCGAATCACACTGTTTTGCCTACTTCATCCTGTTTCTCCTTTCAAATTTGACTCGCAGTCAAAGAATTATAAAGCATGGCGTCTGCTTTCTAAAGCAAAGAACTTTTTCAAACACCTCATTCATGGCAGCATTCTGGAAGAACTTGGACCTTGACTACGAATTTCTAGGGTATGTTGCTTGAAGAGAACTTTTTAAATCCGATGAGGAGCATTTTGATTCACTCAAGCTGTGTTCCCTGAGTAGGGTAACTTGGCACGTGCCTGGAATTTTATTTGAACTTTAAAAAAAAATAAAGTTCTGCATACAATTTTAAACAAAGTGAAATTCACAGAAAAACGCTTGAAATGTTCCGGGAAATGACTCGTGTTTTAGCTTGAACATTTGAATTGGAGACAAATTTATGATCTTGGAGGAGTCCCGCAGTTCCGCGATGAGATTATCCAGAGGTGAAATAGTTTTTTCGCGAACTAATGCAAGCGTCGAGTCAACAGCGTGTGTACGAGGACCACGGACGGACGGATGCCTCTTGAAATGTTCTCTTATTGTCCCGATCGATCGTTCGGTCCCGTCACAGCTAATCAAATCTCAATTTCAGCGACAGCCTTGTACTTGCCAGTGAACCTGCACGATTCGGCGTTCCCGAAAGGCACGGCTTCTTGTTGCTGCGCCGCCGCGCCAGGAACAACAGACGGCAGCGCGTTCTGAGCACAATGGTCTCTCGGGTAGGACGAAGTCTTTTTCGGACGCTCGGGTCTCTGGTGTTGTTGCGAAAATGTGCCCGAAATGGACGAGTTGGCCGATGAGGATGTGGACGATGGCTGGAGTTGCTCGGCTGGAACGAGAAGCAGCCGGTCTTGGGACACGTTCGGGATTAGGCTGTGTGGTGACGTGGCAGAAGGTGTGTGTTTTGGGGTGCTGTTGATGGCCTGGTTGATGCCGAGAGCTGCTCGTGTACCGCGCGTGCTGGAGTCGGATGAGTTGCTGCGGGACAAGCTAGGACCGAGACCTGGAACTCCTGGTAAACCTTGCGTGATTCTTCCTATTACGCAGCGAATAACATGGTTAGGAAGCCATTCCTGAATTTATTTGTCTGCTGTTGAACTATGATACTGTAATTACAATCGCCGAATATTTTTCCATGTAAATTTTTTTTTTCAAGTCTCCGTCGGAATTCTCTTAAAAGCATCATATGAAAAGTTATGCATGACTTGCTTAACTTTATTGTTTCACAATACGAGATTTTTGACCCAAAAAACTCACATTTTCACAAGGTCCCAACATTATTCAGGCAGAATTTATTAGTTGTCTAAACGTACTCCATAGAACATAGTGTCTAAACATCTAAATGTATCTAAACATACTGTCTAAACATATCACTAGTGAAAGAGCAGAGCCGTTTTTCAAGATTTCTTTGTACATTTGATTTTTATATAAAGTTCCATCATGGAGGAATCACAAATGTTTCCACAAAAGCTTCACCTTTTATTACATTTTCAATGAAGGAAGGTGTCAAGCAACAAGAAATGTTTTTAAACAACGTAGACGTTGAACTTGAATGTTCAAAATTACCCTGAGTTTTATGTGAGCATGGGAATGTCATCATCAGTTAACCAAGTGATATCCTTAGAAAAATGCCTCGATTCCTTTGATTTTGGCCGATTTTCTAAACATGACAACGATTTTTCGTGTTACGAAGTGAGTTATTGGCACTAAATTGCGGTTTCCGACTTTCCGTTCAGAAATTAGAGGGAGATTTGTAAAAGTGAAATTTGTTGCACTAACTCGAGGGTTGACTGTACATTACATTTTTTCTCTTTCAGAATTCAACCCGACTACCCGTGAGACAGCCCGAGTCAAACCTGCGTAATAGGCGTCGTGCAAACGCTTCAAGTTGTCGTAGTCGGGATCGGGGATGCCTGCGAGCGGCAGTCGTGGCGGCTTTCGACGCGTGGACTGGACGGATCTTGACGAGCTGTATGTGGAGCCCAGGGTCGTGGTGGACGAGAAGCTGTCGCGTCTGGCGTACCGCAGAGGATCCGCTCTGTCCATGGCGTCCTGCAGGGCTCGCACGTGCTCGCGGTGCATGGCGATGGAAGTGGCGGCGCCGGTGTGCTGAGGATACCCGGGGGCATTCTGCTCGAGGTACAGTTTGTCCATCCACATGGCGTACTGGCGGCAGGCCGTCTCCTGGCGTTGTAGCCACGGGCTTGCGAGGCCAGGGGCTTCGTCCTGCGGGAGCGTGAAGATCGATCAATCAATTAATGAATCGATTATTTATTCATTTCAACCGGTTCAGTCGTAGTGTGGGTATGCCGGGTGGTACTGGGGCACTTGGTAGGTGATATTTGAGATGCTATTGTAGTCTTGCAGAAGGCTTTAAAAATATCCTCTTGTACGTTACGAAAAAAGTGTAAAACAAGGGGTGCAAGTGTGCAAATCTGTGCTTTTATGGAGTTTTGGTTTGTGAGAGAAATTTATGTTATGTTGTCTTGGGTATAGGAAATAGATTAAATGAGAATTGTATCACGAGTGGATTTCTCAAATGATCTCTTTTCATGAAGAATTTAAAGGCACTCTTTTATTTCCAAGTTGAGCCAGTATAACGTACTTATCTTTGATGAATTTTTAATTCTTCAAAAAAAGTTCTTAATCTCTAATTCTGTTTCATCTGTTGAATGACTCTTCTTCTCTATCAAAAAATAACCTGTGACACAGTGACATCTGATGTAATTGAATTCTCAAAGAACGAACCCCACCCCCCAATCGCCGAACAATGAACCGCTGTACAAAAATAAATTTCTTGGCCGGCATGAAAACGACTCAAACCATTTTGACACAACTATGTTTGCTTGAATTTTTAAATTTCCGGTTTCATTCTTCCATAGCCCGTGGAAAATGCGGGGAAACCAAGGTATAAATTAAGTTAATGCATGCAATTTATGCGTTGCATGAGTCAAAGTTGTTGAAATGATATTGGGATTTTTCATCCTGACAAATGTAAAAAATGTATGTGGGACTGAGAAGTAAAAATTGACGTCAATGCCGAACGCGAAAGTTGAAAAATTACTTGAAGCATAGCCAGAATGCTGCTGAACTTCGGATAAACAATGTTTTGCAGTGATCAAGACGCGTCACTCCATTTCTCACTCCCAGACTGACCTTGGCAACTACAAATTAGGTTTTAGAAATATAAGTAATCTCAGCTGCATTTGTTGAAATTAAAAAAAAATGTATCTTAAGAATTTTATATCAAGTCGAAGTCTTCATTTCTTCCCCACATAATTCCCATCAAGGGCTTGGTACTTCTTGTTATGAATTTACTTTTCAGATGAAAAGTTCCACCTGAACGCCTGCCCCAGCGCAAGTAAACATCCTCTCTTGATATGGATCCCTCTCAAATTTCATGAGGAAAAGTTTGGTCGTTTGAACACAACGTTTTATGAGTCAAGAAATTTTGTTCTGGAGCATACTTATCTATAAAATTTTCAGTTTTTAGATATATCAGTTTCGTATCTCAATATACTGTGCATTAAATTTCCTTCTCTTGTTCCGAACTGAGAAGTTTCCCCAGATATTACCGGAAAAATCTGATACCACGACGATTTCTCGTGAAATCGATTGTGCATTGTTCAAGTGCAGCGGCCCTTGTTCGGAATCTTGTCCAACTACGTCTAATTTTATGGTCTGAGCAGCAATTCCCATGTGATGAGCGAAGCATGTATAGAATGTGGAATTTTAAACGTTCTGAAAGCCGTGACGAGCTCATTATCAAACGGGGAAATCTGCTTGTTGTCGCTTTTTGAAGGAGTGACGGGTTCGTTAAGACTCGGATTTCGTGAGAATCTTGCTTCAAGCTCAGAGCCGAAGAAAGTTAATTCGATAAAACCGCATTCTAAAATATTTGGAATTAAGTTCGCCGCATTAATTACCTCGGGGTTGCGTATGGTGGAGCGGAAGGCGTCGGGATGCCCAGCCTGTTTGTTCTTCTCGTTGCGGTACATGAAACACAGGATGTACTGGCTCGCGATGAACGACGATACCAATGCCGCAGCTGTGCTAATCGTCGTCGTCAGGTACGCTGAATAAAAAACAATTCAAAAGGATTCGTGATAATCAGAAATTATCTTTCCGCGATTTATGTTTTGATTTTTTTGTGATGAGCGCCTCCGATTGGGAAGAAAGAACAACGTTTCCAACTTTTCACTTCATCAAGATTGGGAACCGTGCGATCAACGGGAATGGGTGGACATTTCTCTCAGCCTGGTTCATTTGAAACAGAACATCTACAGCTGTTGATTGATTCTGTAATACTTTTTTCTCGTCACAAACCCGAACTTTTTGGAAGTTTCATGAACGAAGGCCAAAGTTGTTGTAAACGGAGCACTTGAAAAAGCGGGGTTCGAGATGTTGTGCAAATCTTGACATTTCTAGGCAGGATTACAATTCCAATCACTTAGTCTTAAATTCATTCGTAAGGAAAGCTCTCAATGGAGCTTGCTTTCCATCATGCTTCGGATGAAATGATTAATGTGGTATAAGAAAAGCTCATTATTGCAGTCAGTATATTACAATTCCAATCACTTAGTCTTAAATTCATTCGTAAGGAAAGCTCTCAATGGAGCTTGCTTTCCATCATGCTTCGGATGAAATGATTAATGTGGTATAAGAAAAGCTCATTATTGCAGTCAGTAAAGAATACACTCAGCCCAATAGTTGGCTAGAGAGGACACGGAGAAGCCGTGAATAAAGAGAAGGAAAAGTTTTATCTTCTGCAAACTGAAGGAGAACAACTTCGATTTTTCAAGTTACTGTACTGGGAAAACTTGGCGCTTTTGCCAGATATTAGCGTACGTAATAATATCTCTAAATCACTTTGCAAATTTCACGTGAAGAACTTCGTTTAGTTAATATAGGTTAAAAAGAGCTCAATAATTACTTCCTCATCGTTTGAGCCAGCGCAAGAAGATAATACTGAATGCAATTCCGTATCTCAATTTAAAGAAATGGTTATTGGGTCACTATTGAAATACTGTAACACAATCGCCAAAGCAGCTTTAGAAACTGAATTTTGAGCAAAACTTCAGATAACGAATTATCGTCTCTTCTAACGCACGATGTCGCACCTGATGTAAGATAATTGAATATTCCATCTCAACTTTTTGTAAACTATTTTGTTCCTGCTTGTGCTATCAATTGTACGCAATTTACGCAACAATTAATGAGAAAAACAACGTCATGTGGAAAGGTTTTTCCTGAATTTGATTGTTAATTCGAGAAGGATGGAACAGTTCAGTTCCCTATATATATACGCCAGATTTACTCTCAAGATATATTTTTCACTGAAAATTACATTTGAAAAGGAAAAGGGAGGGTTTTGCAAGATGGAGTAATACCGTACGGAACGCGGAATCTTCGTTGTTACTCGATCGGGACACTCGACATTCACTGGTTGTTATTTCCTTTAGTGAGCTCTGACTTTCGGATGAAATGCGGACAAACAGTGGATGGACACTGGACACCCGGCTTCGTTGCATACCGTAGGAAAGAAGACTCTTGACGACTTCAGCGGTAAAGGGATCCGGGTCGCCAGCCGGCATGGACATGGTGTCTCTCCGGTGTTCGCTGCCGAAAGTGCCGTTATTACCCGCGGAAAGTGTAGACGTTTGGTGGAAGTGATGCGAGTCGCCGTGAAACGTCGCCAAGTGTGGATCTGGTCGCGCGTTCCGATCGTGGTCAAAGATGCGCCACTCGCCGATCTCCATGACGATCATGTTGACAGCGTTGCAACATCCGACCGAGATGGACATGAGCAGGATGGCCTGTGCTCGACCGCTCGTCAATCCGCCGCCGAAGCAGCTCAGCAACAGTGTGCTGATCCCGCACACGACTCCCTGATGAAAGTAGAATGGCAGAGACTTTGTCAGTCCTGAAGGATTCATTTTCCACCGCCCATAAAGCTTTACGATACAGTAAAATCTTGAAACAACGAAATCTTATCAGAAACCTGATAAAATTCGTAATTAAAAAAAAATCCTTTGTATATTCACACGTTTCAGCCTGAAATTTTGTGGGAAATGGGTAATAAATGCTGTGTAAAGCTTCCAATACAGATAATTCAAGACCCATCATAGTTTCTAAGTCTATCTGATGAAATGAAGGGGAACTTTTTTGAATACATGTACATAGTACTGTGCTCCCTTTCCATTGAACCTTTTTTTCTACAAAAGTGCTGTTTGTCTGGAAAAATTAAATAAAACATTAGTGTGTATGGGAGAAATACTGTACTTCCTTCCTTCTGAATGAAACTATTCATTCATACCTGTTGGTTCTTTCAAACGGAGGAACATTCGTTCCATCGCACTCTTCATTTGAAAGAAGGCATACACTCTGAAATAGGGCTAAAGAATTTGCTAGTAATGCGTCGAGTTGAGTATTTTCAACACTACAATTTGTCTACTGATAGTTTTGCTTATTTGATGAATTTTGAAAGCTGCAACAGTTATGTTTCATTTTTTTTGCCACTTATTAGATAATTCGCATGGCATAGGCACAGAATAGGGGCCAAAAATTCATTATGCCGGAGTTACAGCCTGAAATAAGTTTGTTAAAACAAGATTTTTTAACGTGGCGCCTATGGATAAACTGCTGGGACAAAAAAAAGTGGGCTATGAAGAAAAATTTTTTGTACTGTACAATAACAAGATTCGTAATGAATTTAGCAGTATTTTAATTTTTTCTGCAGATGGACGAAGTCTTAGGAGCGCCTTGACCCGATGATGTTTGATTGTCCATGATACATGATGGTATGAAGAAAATTATTAACCTTCAGAAACGGATCCGCAAGAATAGGTACCCAACGAGAAGGGACCCAGCTTAGGACGAAGCAACAGTTATGTTTCATTTTTTGCCACTTATTAGATAATTCCCATGGCATATGCACAGAATTGGGGCCAAAAATGTCATTTTCAGATTTTTTAAAAACAACATTGTAGCAGGAATATAATGTCTTAAACAAAATTTCCAAGGAATACGATATTCTTGACCAATATTTCTAAAGCATACAATATTTCTGGAAGTACAGTACGATGCTTTTTCAGTCCATGTGTATTCAAATCAGTGTGCCAACTGACCAGCACTCCCCCACATGTTGGTCCCACAGCCCCATTTCCTTGAGGAGACTGTTTGTCACAGCGGTCCCTTTCTGCCGTTTACCCAGAACCTCTTCTCCGGGCACCTTTTTCGTTGGGGATTTATGCTCCGGGAGCGCTCAGAAAAGTGTGCATCTCGACAAGTTTTTGGCTTACAAAAGAACAGCAAGTTTTTACCACGTAAGGAAAGAAAGGCGACATGTTTGGCATTTTATCTCACAAGCCCGTCCGTCTGTGAATGGTAGCTTGATATGAGTATGCAATTCTGAAAAATTTGGCTTGGGAAGACGAAACAAGTGGAAAAAATGGAAACGTTCTGGCATCAGCAGTGCAGATATGAACTCGTATTACATCGACGGAAAAAGGTAAGAATTTGCCATTTTCTTGCAAGACCACGCGATCGGAGGGTTTTCCCTTCCTTTCGGAAGTTTCATTGAGATTAAGGAAGGTACAATTTTTCGAGGGACACAGTAATCGTCGTCTCAAAGATTACTGTTATCTGGGTAATACCAGGAATTTTTCAACGTTGTTTACCTTCCCGCAAAAACAAAAGAACAAAAATTGCGTTCATGACTAACTGAAATGTGCGCACGTTTTTGCCGGTCGAGAAACCAACGCCAAGGAAAAAATAATTCTGAAATCCTGTATATTTTTGGGATCTCGAAATGTTCTATAGTTCGGATTTTGTCGGTGTTTTCCTCCTTATTCTTGTAACATTTTAACATTTTTCTGACCGTGGCGGAAGTTTCAAAATTGTGTGTACAGTATTCTACAATTCTCCACTTCAATTGCTGAAATGCAGAGGTTTTCGCTGGTGAAGAGTGGAAATTGAATCGCCCTTCGGTTTAGTATTCATAAAGCAAAAGTGTCTGGTAGAACAAAAATGTTATATTGTTTGGATCATGTCGGTTTTTCTCTCTTGTCTTAAAATGATCGATCTGGCCATGGCTGAAGTTTCAGACTTTTGTGTACAGTATTCTACTTCAATTGATCAAGTTTTCACGCGGGACGTGAAAATCGCCCTTCATACCAGTAATCATAAGAAAAAGGCGCCTGGCCGTCAGTCCGAATAGGCAAAACTCTGCTTCACAAAAAGGTGTCCGTAAATCGAATAGTCTCGTGTCGAATTACACTTTTTCAAGGTGCTGTACTGGCAATAATTTCTGGTCAACCCGCTCTCGTTCCCGAGGACAGTGTTTTCCGCTTGACCTTCCAGATTTTAAAGTAAACGAGCGCCTGGAAGAGCGTAACCTGAAATCCCGTAGCGTAATGGCTATGCAGCTGCTGTGCACTTTCCTGTACATAGTTTGCAGTTGGAAAACGATGTCGACCGAAAGACTGATCGTCATTTTTAAAACCGCGTAAAGATCACGCGTCGCTCGTTCGGGGTTAGGAAATCGCAACACACGCGGAGATTTTCCGAGAAAGCGGGTGAACAACTTGCCGGGCGTGTCAGCTAACGATCGGAGCAACAAGGGGTTTGTTGCATGACACCGAGGAAATTTCCCCCGAGGGCCTTGGTTCGTGGAAGCTGTGATCAGAATCGATTGATCCTTCGTCACGACCGCCATGAGGCAGCTGCAATCTATTGACACACTCTTTCGGCTTGATGAAGGTACAGTCTGTGGGATGGATAATTGCTGATTCTCGAGTGGACGAAGAGGTGAGCTCTTGTCGAGGAAGTACGTGAGGTTTTCTTGGGGAATATGCGTAGGCTTTCGAAGGAAAGTTGAAGCACTGTACTGTAGTACGCGAAGCAGATGAGTTGGATGGAATAGAATACAAATGTCAATTGAGCAGATGAAGACAAAGCGACAATTCAGGGAAATCGTCGATTCGTAGGATACGGAAGCTTCTTATTATTGTAAACCGAAATTAAACTAAAGTTTGTTTCGCGTGAAAAATTTGAAATTTCAGTGATTGGTTCACATGGATTAGGTACGCAAACGCGAACATTCGAGGGGTTACACGCTCCCCGCGGACCTCATTATATCTCGAGCTCCCGCTCAGTTTTTGGACCGTTTCCTCCTCCGTCTACAATACTGAAGGCTTCTCTTATTTTTTTTTCGTAATTTTTCTGCATGATGAAAGGGTGTATGGGAGCCGCACAAGTGAGGTCGTACCAGTTTCCGCGGGTTTTGCGCGGCCTTGACTGTGAGAAAGTTCCGAAATGTCATTTGCTACAAATTTTGTTAAAGACGAAGTTTTTGCAAATGGCTTGCAGCAGATAACTTGTGTCGACGACAAAAGTTTCAGGTAATGACTTCTGTCCGTGACGATAGTTGCAGCGAACAGTTAAAAACACTTCCCACCAAATATGATGAATATTTGACCATCAGTCGGCTGTTGCGTGACCTTCGGTATTCGATATACAGCAGTATAGTATTTAGAGAGGCACAATCATGCGTTTCTTTCTCGGCTTTCTCAAGTTGGTTGCGCAAAATATATCTTCGAGTGAAAGATGGATTGATGAGTAATGCCGAATTTGGGATGATTTCCTTGACCGGTGATGTCAAGATCCTGAGTCTCAAAATTATGGACCAATGGTTGTAATCGCGTCCTAGGCGGGCTAACAAATTCTTCACCATTCAAAGCAAAAATATCGCAAATTATGTTTCTTATGCAATCGAACCTCTTCAAGGGACCAGAGAAGAAATCGAATTAGGGAAGTTTCCAGTGAATGCCTTTTTTTCTGGGTTACATTTTTATTGTTTTTCTCTTTCGTGTGTCAATAAAATATTAGCCAAGATGCCTTCAGAAAATTCTACTTCAGGAGGTTAGAGGAGGAAAGCTTTTGAGTTACGGAAGGAGTTTTGCATTGTTTCTGAGGGAATTAAGATAGGGGCTTTAAAAAACATTTGATGTAGGGAGGTACTTGACTTATTAAGGAGTTTTGAGTTATCAAGGTTCAACTCTGCAATAGGGGAGTTGAAATAACAAAATATAGCCAAATTTCAGGCAAGCAAAAATGTCAGTGAACACATTCAATACTTTCTATAGGAATTCAACTTATTGTTTGCGAACGTAATTCGAATTGAACCAGCGATTAGAAGGTAACTGAAAGAAAATATCTTGCGATTGTTTACGTGAGTCATCTTTTTCGGGGGGAAATCAGGAAAAAGTTTCCTAAATACTGTACAGTATGGATTAATGCGCCGTAATTTGCACGTCTTTTCCTGCGATGGACATGATTTTGCGGGAAATCATATCGTTCAGGATGCAGTCAATATTTGTCTACCCTATGTGGAATGTACCTCTCATGTGGTCGAACAAATGAACACCCGTGAATCCTTTCGAAAACTGCGTACTGCATTTCAAAGTGAAGCACGAAAGTTCGACTGTCCATTTATTATACTGTACTACAGTTCAATAATCACGGAAATACTGCATGATTTACAAATCGCATCTGGTATTTTTTTTTTCGAATTTGACGAAGCTTGAAGGAGTTGGTGTAATGGGTTGGAAACGGTTGTATGATATAATTTCCCCGGCATTTTGCAATAGCTCGAGATCGTTGGTGATGGGTTTAATTACCTCGTTACGAGAAGAAAAGGGGGCGAAATCGCTCACGACTTCTCCGAATCGATCAACTCCAGACGCGTTAACAGGAGGAACGATTTTCCCGCGAGTTCAAATTAAACGTTTCGACACGAGAAATGGCTTCAATATTACATTTCAGTGCAGTTTTACGGGCTGAATTCCGTCGCAAATTGAAAATGTGCGAAGACATTTTTCAAAATTTCAGACAGTCCTGCGGAATATACACGTGGACTCACTTTAAATCAAAACTCATGGGACCGGGAAAAATCCTTTGTAAATAGAATTTCGTTCCAGAGAACCTGTATAACATTAAGAGAAAACGTTATGTGGGATCAAATAAAAATTTGTTGTACAGAGAAATTCGTTGTAGACGAGGAACAACTTTCTGACGCATTCACGAATCTGTATTTCGGTCGTCTGAAACTTTTTTTTTGGTCGCGTCGTAATACGGCACAAATTTGGACATTTGGGTGGGGGCTTGAAAAAATTTAACTCAAAGAGGTTCAATTGAAACTTGCGTTGCCTGCCAATTCTTTTGGCGATTCTCGGAGCTGTTTCGAAAGTTGCGAAACCTCTATTTCATACAATACCTTTGGGAAAGCCGGAGCCACTCAAAAAATAAACTTGGTGGGCAATAATTCCTGACAACATATGAGAGCCTAATGTTAAGGCAGGTACAGAAGATGGATGTACAGTACTGTACAGTAATTTGATCTATGTGCGCGACTTTTCTTGCGTCCATCAGAAGCTTGATACTATCCACGAAGTGAGTTTTACCTTCGATCTGATCGGAGTGCGAGGCGAATAAGAAACCTCACGGGTGTTTAAAATCGATCTTCGACCCGCAGAGCAAGCCTTCAAAGTTGTTGTGGGGTGCTAATGGCGGAGCCATTGGGAGGAATTGCTTTCGATTTCCGACAGTCTCGTGAAGGTCTCGGGTCCTTGTGCTAGAAACAGCTTTTCTAAGCTTGTCTCGATTCGCCTTGGTCCAAGTTTTACGCACGCAAAGTTTAGGTGCTTCGATGAGAACAAACGACTCGAATGCATGGAAAACGTGAGTACCGAGTGTGACATTTTGATGAAGCTTTGCTGGAACGAAATGAGATTGTGCTTCACACTGCGCTCCGTCAAGACCTGCAGCTTCAATTGAAACAAGAGCCTCTTGTTCTTCGGAAGGGCACTATGAAAGTACAATATTGTACTACCTCTAGTTTAAATTTGTTGAGTCTGGATTCTGTTGAGAGCGTCGATAATTTCCCCGGGTTCGTCCGAAATGAAATTTTCCTACCCTACAGTTGATGGTGGTCTTGCATTTTCCAATAAATCCAACATGAACGAAACCTATTGAAATTTCTTCCGAAAGTTTCCATGTTCGTAAGCTTGATAATGCGTGTAGAAGGCCTTGAGCTCACTGTAAAGTCTGCGCGCACCAAATTAAATAAAAAAGCAAATGGATTTAAATGGCTGCTCTGAAAATACTGTATAATTGAAAGAAATATGACAGATAGTACTGTATAAGGATTGGTGACCAACTCATGACATAATGATGAGAGCTTTTCTACGCACAGGTTAATGAATAACCATTTTCAAAGATATCCTTGATGCTGGAAGTACTGAAGGGGAAAAATATATTCCACTGTATTCGAAAATTATTAATCGGAATACGGATATTAACTGTTAATGTCACATGGTTTATTGTAGTATACATAAGTATTTCAAGCCAATTTAATGTCTTTATGGCAGTTGGAACTTGAAACCATTTCGGGAAGCATTTATTCCGTTCGTAAATTGCGCAATCAGTACGAGGTAGACCATGATCTTGTGGAGCAACTTTGTAATTTTAAAGCTGCAGAATTGCTTCTGAACGATGAAATTCGGATTTTCTGCTCACTTCAAGTACTTCAGTGATACAATTTCATAAAATCGTTCTTGTTTTATTCATGACAAAGCAACCAACAGCCATGAAAATTGTCGATGAAATTTTTTACACTTTTCAATCGCGCGTAAACTTTTTGATTCGAGGTTGAAAACTGCAAAAAAAGTTCTGCTCGGCGCGATGATAGCATCACTTGATTGTGAAAATACAGTTTTACGCGCGCTTCGTGTAATGAGGCGACTTGAAGCGAAATATGAGCGTTCAATGCTAAAATGAAATGGCACACTCTTCCATCCGCACAGTATTTGAAGGCCGATTTATCGGTGTTAGGTGCATATAATCGTCTATATGTATTATAAAGCAAAAGTATTGCGATTGTTTGTCGCGCGAAGCTTAGAATTGTGTAACTCAAACAATTTCGAAACGACGAAAATGTCGGGGGAAGAATATCGTGTCCATGGTCTGCAGGTTTGAATTCCTCATTTTCAATGTGTTCTTGTGCGTTTTTCTGAGTTTACAGAACTTATCCATTGATGATTGGGATGTTTGACAGAACGTGAGACATTTTTGAATCTCCAATATAAGTGACGGAATTTTGTGCGTAAAATGCGCCGTATTGTGGAATTTCCTGATCTTCAGGAAGTTTAGCTTCAGTTCTAAATTTCATTTTTCGCATTGAATTTACGTCTCGTAAAGTAAAATACTGTATGAAGCAGCTTTTTTCTCCGCAGCTGCATATGACGACTGTCCGGAATTAAAGCCTGATACTGACAGTAACAGTGTTCCCCAACCATTTTGGGCCATCGACTTGACAAATTTCCATAAAACATTTTTCGCGGACCAGTGAATTACCATTAAAATGTTGTACACCCGCAGAAACTTTTCAAATATCTCTCATACCGTTGTCCAACCAATGCTGTATTTAAAAAATTAAGTTGAGAACCAGTGAAAAGCTGCTGTATATACTGTACTGGGATGTCTTGAAAAAATCAGAAAGCTGTGCATCAAGAAAGGTCAAGATTCCAACTTATCTCTGACCTAAAAACGTTAGGTTGCTTAAAATAGGATAAATAATTCTCACGCTCAAAATATAGATGAAATTAATTGGCTTAATTAAGATGCCAGCCTGAAAATTGATGTTCATCTCTGTACAGGCAGCTCATGGAATTTCAATGAAGAGCTTATTATGAATTCTGCAAAATTTATCAAGTGGTGTAATGACTGCAGTGAAAATATATCGGTTGCTGCATTACCATCAGAACATCTTTTTTTTATGTCCAGCATTACAAACCATGATTGAACTTTAAAAAGACTCAGGATTCTCACAAATTGATTAAAAAAAGGCATCTTCCCAAATGTCGGAGGACCAGCATGACACATTTTTAGCTATACAGCATAATCTTTCGCCTCAAAGATTCTTTTTAATTTGTTTGATCAGTATTATCTGGGAACAGGCTGATTACCTGTGCTCTGATTTTTGTCCGTTTTAGAAAGAAAGAAAAAGTTGGGATTTCATCATCCATGCACTTGTACATGCTGTGATTTATGTATTGTTGTGAGAACCTATGCTGTATGGTGAATTATTATTGATAGGCCAGAATATGTTGAGTGTGTGGGGGCTGTGGGGAATTTTGTGAACACTGGCAAGCATAAAATAAAGCTTGTGTATCAATTAATATTACAGTATAATCAGTGAGAGAATCCTATTTCTTACTTATTCATATGTATCAGTTATATTACTATCTCATAATCATTTATTAAAGAAATTCAGTCTTTCTAAAAAAAGAACGCGAGTGTGTGCAGAAAACTTCGTGAATTCGTCAGATCGTGAGTTGATTTGCTGTCTGTACTGTATACAAGGACCACTCAAAATATTACGTGATGAGCCGCGTATAATGGTAGGAAAATGATCGCGCAATTCCTCTCATCTCGCACGGTGGAATTGCAGTCCAATCCTCATTCCTTATGCCCATAACTGCCATAAGACAAATTCGTGAAGATTTTAGAGGTGCGAGTCTGTATCTGTCGGACCCGGTTAAGAGCAGAGAAAAGGCATTGAAACGATGGGCGAAAAATAGAAGCGGGTTGCGCGGTGGTGACGAAACTTCCATTGGCTATAACCTCATAGAATATCCAGTCGGCCGAGTTCAAAAGGCCAGTGACAGCTGCCTTCGTGGTTTTGCAACTTCGGAATTCGCACGCGATGGTCCAACGCAGATATTTTTTTTCTGGTTCTATCTCCTCCTTCTTTCAAATTATTTCGCGACTGTGGTCGGAAACTTCGCAACGACGACATAGTTTCTCGCGCACTTTCTGTCGAAACTCCGGTCCCTCTCAGTTTTTGTCAAATTGCTGGATCCCATCATCAGAATTTTTTGGTTGAGGTTAATTATGAACCGTATTTGTGCTCTAAAATATTAAACGCATATATTATACGGTACATCGTTCATATATTTTTTTTCATTCGTTGCCTCGAACTTGAAGAGATTTGTAACGGCGAATGTCAAATGCGCTTTTATTGCACCGATATCTTCAAAATCGAAGGAGTCAGTTTATCTGATTCCTTCACATCTTTGATTGACGCAATTCATAGGCTGATGACGTAACTTGACCCACCGAAACGCGTAGAATTATTTCCAAATAACCAAACCTACGCGAGATTTCAGTGGTGACCGGAGCAAAATTAAGCTCTCGTCATATCGTGTAGGAAAAACGATAGAAAATCACTCCATCGCCAATTTTTGAATGGGAAACACTTGTGCACATTTCAAGTTCTTCATTGTTTTCTTTGGTGCATTGCTTCTTTTGAAAATGGATTGAAACTAGCTTTTCGACCAGCATGAATCGTAATTAATACTTGCGCATTTTTGATTATTTTGCTGGGGGAATCTTGTCCAACAGAGGATTCCGTTTCTGCAGATAGAATTGTCTGGACTTCCCTCGTATAGATAGATTGTGTTCTTGTCATTAAACAGTAAAATCTTGTAGCAAGAAACTCATGTACGGGGAGCCCTCAGAAAAAGTTTGTTGTAACGATATTTTCAAAAAAATGTGTACTGCTGGTAAGATTTTAAAAAAGTTAAACCTGCATTTATTCAAGATCTTCCTTTTTGGCATTTTCAGAAGTTTTTCCATGTTTCAAAATCTGATCATAAAAAATAAAATCAAAACTGTATTTTTATTAACAGGTAAACACTGGCACTTTTTGTGGACTTCAAGTTTTTCTAAGCGATGCCTACACAAATTTTTGAGGGTTGGATGCTCCAAAAAAGCATACAATTTTTAAGCATCAGTAGGGTTTCAAAAGCATTCAAAACCCCTTTTAAGAGGTTTAACATAACGTTTTTGGGCTCATTTCACTCTTCTAAACTTCCCCTGCCCCAATGTTCCTCACCTATATGAAAAAATTTGGAAATTTTGGATGTTCAGGTGAATTTTGTAGTGCGTTTTTGTCCTTGATTCCACCTTTCATTCATGTCCCAATAACCAGTCATAGTTACATTTTGAATGGGAAATTTGAGACTGAGCCTGCCTTCATTGGAAATTTTGCATTGATGGGCAAATCACAACATGTCTCTCGAAAAAAGTTTCTTGTATACTGAAATTGGGGAGTTTGATGTAACAAGATTTTTATAACATGTACTGTTCAGTATTTTTGCTGGGACGTAAACTGAAACATTTGTGGTAACGGTAATTGTTGTAAGGAGATTTTTACTGTGGTAGGCTAGTATAGCTGTTGTTCTGTGCGATTTTTGTAACTCTTGATTGAAGTTCATCCAATCATTTGAACGTGAAATCTTCATTATTGAAATGTTCGGTTCAGTTAACTTGATAAATACTGATACAGTACGAGAAAAAAAGGAAGATGAGCAAGTTAGCGTTACTGGACGCTCTTCGTGTTTGGTTGCTTTCCCGCGGACAACATTTAGGTGATGAATTATACTTAGTAATTTAGAACTGGCTTTCCTGTCTTTTCTGAATCAAACGTGAAACAGCGGAAGACCTGAGCTTCGCATGCGAATCAATTAAATCATCTCAAATCGCGCTTTGCTTGACGCCGTGAATGCGGGAAGAGTGTTTTCGGCAAGGATCGTGTTTAACTCACCCACAGCCCGGTCCAGATATTGGACCATGTTTCGAAAGTGGGGAGAATAAATACGAAGTAGATGCCTCCGATGACCTGGGCTCCTCCCGAGCACGTGTAGACGAGTCCAAAGGCTGTTATGAAATTTACCAACACTTGAGTCCTCTTCATATTGCCTCCATCGTGCTCCGATTTCCCAAGCATGCCTACATCATCTGCAAATAAAAAATAAAAAAAATTAAAATAACTGATCCCGAGGAAATCGAATCTGCACAGCGTTCCTTCTCTGAACGATCGCATCATTTGAAGGTGAGAATGCAAATATACAATATCACATATGTTATCGCTTCCATTATGAGGCGAATCGAAGCGAATGATCTGCGTCCAATGCTTAAAGTAAATGGGATACTCCTTCCAGCACGAGAGTAGCTGAAGGCTGCTGTCTCGGTGTTCTCAGTATGAACTCGTTCATGTATTGTAATGTGATTATTGATCGCGTGAAAAATTTATCGCTCAAGCGAGGTCGAAACAACGAAAATGTTGCGGGAAGATTGAAGGATTCAGCCTATGGTCTGTGAATGGCTTCCTTTGTATTCCTCATTTTAAGTGGATTTTTGTGCGCTTTTTTGATTTTACGGTGCTTATCGATGGAACATTACGATGTTGGACAGCCTGTGAGAAATATTTCCATCTCCAAGAAGAGCAGAAATGTTGAGGAAACGCACAATTAATCAAGTTTCGTGTGAAATTCGTCGAGGAACCTTGCTGGAATGAAAATCGCGTTTAATCGGAAATGAGAAACTGATGAGGCATTCTCTTATTCTTGCATCGAGTATGATTATAAATATGAGAATGTCTACTATGTTTCTGGTCGAAAAAAAAAAAGAACCATCGTATAAGTGCAATCCATATAGCGCGGAAATGTAATTTTGGTAAAATTCTCTCGATATCCTCGCGATGAAGTGAATAAACCACTGACGGAACAAGCCTCTCCATACGGATCCGGCGTCAGTCCTTGAACTTGATTGTTCAACGCGACGTCGTGAAGCAGATCGCTCTAAAACTCAGCAGGGATCCACCTCGCATCTCGGCTAAGATCAATCATCTCTCGACTGAGGTCAGCTCTGGAGGGTCTCAAAGACCCCGAGTTCGTTCTCGCAGCATTCTTTAATGTGCTATAAATAGGCTTTTAATTGTTAAAGACACTTTGAAATTTTCAAGCTTTTATTCAAAGCCGCGTTTTGCCAACATTGCGTTTCGAGTTCCAATGATGAAGCCTGAAGTCCTTGCTGAAATCTTCCTGCGCGTTCAATTTTTTTTCATTGCCAATCGAACACCACAGCTAGTTCTATGAGTGGTTTCGCGGTTAATGTTGAGGGTTAATTTTAATGATCCACGTATTCAGTACGTGAAAATGTACTTGAAAATGCAATGATCCTGAAATCATTTCAACACTAGCGATATTCGATTTGCCGCGAAAAATCGATTCCTTTTCTATTTCTCGACCAACAGCTTGAGGCCCAGTGTTTTAAAACCACAGTTGATTTGCGTCAAAATTTTTCGATTAATGGATGGATGCGTGCGGTTGAGGCGGTAGTTTCATTTGTTGAAGGTCGTTATAAAGCTTTATGAATTCTGAGGAGAAGAATCGACTGAAGTGGGAGATGAATCAAGTATTTTTCATTATTTCGAATACGTTTTATAAAATACCGTGAATATATGAAGTAGACCGAGAATCGGTCATGAAGGCTTCGAAGCATGATGCGTCGAACGAACTTTTAATTGAACAAATCAAGGGCGTTCGGCGGCTTATTATGTTACATGTACAAGAAGAGTTATGAAGCAATGCAGAAATGTGATCTATATAGTGATCACCGCTTTGGGACTGGTTGAGTTGCTTCATATAATCCCAATCCTAAAGAATCCTGTGGTGAGAAGTTTACCGTTATACAGTATACGTAGATTTTTTTCGAATTGGTTCGGTTTTGTTACGTGCATGAGAATAGCTAGCTTCGACAGGCAGACATTAGTTCGCACGAAAGCGCGTGGAAAATGTTTGATGCATGTTTTATCTTCTTAATATCGTCCTATTTGCTGAAGCGTTCTCCTTTTCGTTTCTGTGTAGTAAAGATGAACGCAAGGTTCGGTTGCAAATTGTCCTGAACGACGAAGTAAATTGGAGGTGCAGTCGCTTTCTGGCTTGGATGCAACGCATCTCGCCCATGCTTCCGGATTACGTGAGCGCACGCGCAGCGTGATGAAGAAGGTGCGGAGCGTCGGTCTCTTTTATTTGGCGCAGCCTCGAAAGTACGTCGGCCTTATGATTTTCTCCCTTTTTATTCCTCGGTGTCCTCAACTCGTGCCGGTACACGGAGCTGATGGAGGCTGGGTCAGTACCGCGAGTGAATCTTCCTGAAAATGAAGTGAGGTCACGTGAGATCCGATTTTCGTGCACCTCCCCGAGCCGGCAATCGTGACGTGAGGAGACTATAACCCGAACAATGCGCTCCAATCGCGGACAACCCGTTGAGGGCTGTGTTTTGAGTCTGCGCAACCTGCCAATCTCCAGTGTTGATAAATCGACTATATAGACTTCAGTCTTGTCGCGAAGATCCTCGAACATTTCACGGCCGAAACGCAAAAATAAGTGGAGTGAAACGTGCACAATTCGAATTTATCGCGTTTTCACAGGGTTGAGCTGTATATTGAATGTGATCCTCGCGACGACCAGAATAAACCCGATTATAGGCAAAGCGCACGATGTGTGCACAGAACTGGATATCTAATGATGAAAAGCTGAAAACACAGTACCGACGAGTGTCCACATGGTGTTATTCGAGATGTTTCTGTGTATTTGAGTTATGTTCATTTTGACGAGGTTATATACAGAACATCCCACAAAAAAGGAAGTCACTCAAGACGGGAAGGACAGTGAAGTGTCCGTCTGGCGCAAGATTAATTAGGCTAGGAAGTAGTGTATGTACGATATTATTTGAAATTATTACGGTAACTAATTGAATATCGATGACCTAACCTGATCCCATCCTCCGGACTGTGGACGAAAGCTAATTCGAGCATTTACAACTGATGTTTCAAAACTTGTTTTAATGTTCATCCCATGGTGATGATCACTTGATGACATGACTCATTGATGAAGATACATAGCTTGACCTTTTTAGCGGATGGACGTTGATTCTCACTTCGTTATGAATTCTCCCCATTGTCATCAGTCTCGCGCAACATTTCGCTCGCTATGCCAGAGAGCATCATCCATTTTACGCAAGACGGAAGAATCAGGCTTGGTTTTCTTGAGGAAGTGCTCTGTTTTTACTTATCCAGCTTTTCGGAAAGAGTTTTCCGAATGCTGGGTCACGATCCGAGCAAGGGTCAACCGTCGCGTTGAAACCCGTCGGATTTTTCCCGAAGGTCGTCTCGCGTTGGGTCATGGGAACATCCGTGAATTCGGGGCATTTTCGTGTCGCCCGCCGTCTTCGGCCTCTTTTGTGCTCTTGTTTCAATTTCGGTAAAGAAAAAAGAAACTGCTCATTCATCCATCTTCATTCCCCCTTCACGTCAGTTATTCTCTCTCGCGAGGATCCTTCATCTCGGCTGGCATTTGCCCCACGCGTTTTGAAAGAATTGCAATCAAGTCAATCACATTTCTTCTTTCCGTCGCACAATTAACGAATTTACTTTTATTTGAAGAAATTGGGAAGGCAGTACCAAAAAAAAATATTGCGATGTGAGAATAAGTTTTCGGCACTTCCTCATTCAGATTGTTTTCCTCTATTAATCTCGATGTTCTGTACACCATAATGCGCCTGTGCGGCAATTGATAGTGATGTGACGTTCCCTGAGTTACAGTATATTTTAACTCGAGGATATGTATCTAACGTGATTAATTATAAGTAATCGCTAATTAAATTCTACCGTATAATGCACTACACTGTTTTCTTGCGTAAATCGCTACTCATAACGTGATGAACTTGGCATGAGTCAATGCCTGACTCTCTTAACCAATCGCATGGAACCAGCAATTAAGTGAATCCAACCAACCTCGCCTGATGTTGCGGTGCCCGCAGAAAAGGCAGAAATTGGTAGGTTTTACAATTTTCAGATTCTACGAAGAAAACCCCGTGCCTTCCATGAAATGAACTGAAAGTTAGGCAATATTTCGTGCATCTTGTTGATGACGCTCTTGCTGGTGGCAGAAATGACAAAGTGGATGCACATGAGCCCACGTCGTTCGAGATGATAAGCGGGATCGTGAGCGCGTCATTCTCAGCACTGTAGTTCCTTTCTTGGTACCCCAGTCTTGACGAAGCGTCGCGTGACCACGCTGGCAGGTACGTATCTTCGGAAATTCACGAACAAAACAACACTGTATGTATTTCCTCCCTTCACAAATTACAGAAAAGGGCGAGCCGAGGAAAACCATGCAATGCCGCTTTCTCTTATGTTTGTTTTTTCCAGGTCCTTCAACGGAAATCGTTCAATAATTTGATATCGCGTGTTCTGTTGAGGCGAAAGAGTTCCGCTCTCATGGACGAATCCACACGTTTTGGTGAAACAATCGTGATTTCTTTCGCGCCCCGGTGGAAGAAGGGTCAAAATCAACTTCACCTGACAGTTGGCAATTGTTTGTTTGATGTAGTTGCTCGCATCCTCTCGCGAACAATTTTATGGACCCGACATCTTCGCGATTTCCGTTTCACTTTTTTTCTCTTCGCACTTATGTGCATGATTCACAATAACCTTCTTTGAGCTTAGTGCTTTTTTTCGCTTCAAAATATATTGCCTTTCAAGAACATATTTTGTGGATGTGTCCTTTTCTTTTCTCCTGGAAACTGCTGCTCGCTGATCTACAAAGACGAGAAAAGTTTTCAAACGCGCAGCTGTATAAACCTTGAGTTGACCACTCAAGAACCGTGAAGAAGCATGCACTCGCGTTTTTTCGCGCAATGCATGCTATCGAAATGAAATTCTCTGTGATATATTTTTTATTTGAAATCAGGCAAAACGTGCTTGGTACAGTATGAATGCAAGTCTATATAATTGCTAAGTTGCTCAGTTAAACTTGGCTAAAATGGGTCTGGCACGAATTAATCCGAGTTATCCGACGTTACGTCATTTGGTCAGAAAACTGAACTGGATTAACTCGGGGAACCAATTCTGCTCTGGAAAAGCCAAAATTTCGATTGCGAAAGGACGTTATTTATA